CTCGGGTTACTCAGTGTTCACGGAAGCATCCAGAACAGGATGGGGAGGGACCTGCCTGAAGAGAGCTATAGGTGGGCGCTGGTCTCTAACAGAAACACGGCACAGCAACCTCCTAGAGCTACGGGCAGTAGTGTTGGTCCTCCAGCATTTCAAGCCCCTAATTCAGGGGAGACATGTACTGGTCAGGAGCGACAACAGCACCACAGTGGCACTCAGACATGACACAGATGAAGGTGGGCCAGCCCTGGGCGGTTCCCCAGTTCTGGGGGGCGATGTCTCAAGAGGCAGGTGCAATCGGGGCGTTACCCATTCTGGGCCAACTTCTCCAGGCTTGGCTCCTGAGAGGGACAGGCTGAGACAGGGTGGATTGTCTCACAGAGTTATTCAGTCTATCCAGGCAGCTAGAGCGGGATCCACCACAGCCTGTTACAGGCCGAAGTGGCTGGGATTCCAGCGATGGTGTGAGGAGTGGAGAATAGAGCCCCTATCTTGTGAGTTGGGCTCTATTTTGTCCTACTTACAGTTACTGGTGGACAGAGGGCTTGCTCATTCCACAGTGAAAGTGTATGCAGCAGCCATCTCGTCCTGCCATGAGGGATTTGACGGCAGGTCAACCTTTAGACAGCCACTGATGTCGCGTTTTTACAGGGGGTCAGGAGGCTGCGCCCAGTAGAGCACGCCTCCGCCCCGCAGTGGGACCTGCCGTTGGTGCTCGAGGCTTTGGTCACAGAACCATTTGAGCCTCTGGAGCTCTCCTCCCTGAAAGCACTGTCGTGGAAGACAGCATTGCTACGTGCCTTAACGTCAGCCAAGAGAGTGTTCGAATGAACCGCTCTGTCGGTGCACCCGAGTTGCTTGTGATCCGGGGTGACCGGAGCAGGGCGACACTCAGGCCGAACCCCTCCTTTGTACCCAAGAGCCTAAGGAGTGCGTTCAGGTCGAGGGCTATTCAGCTAGGGGGCTTTAGTCTTCCACCCCATAGTGGGGCCAGGGAAGCTAAATTGCACCTCCTCTGCCCGGTGCATGCGCTAGCATGTTACGTGGAGCACACGGCTGCCCTCAGACGCACTGAACAGCTGTTTGTGTGCTTTGGGGGCGGGGTGACCGGGAAAGCTCTGTCCAAGAAGCGCCTGGCAGGATGGCTTTGCGAGTGCCTTGCACATGCCTGCGGACAGGCGGGGGAGGTCCTTGCACACTCTACACGGGCTGTGGCTGTGTCAACAGCCTTATTCAACGGCGTGAGTGTAGAGGACATATGCCCGGCGGCGTCTTGGTCGGGGCACTGTTTGTCCTATGCCGCTCGCTGAAGAGAGGTGTAGGATGACAGTCAGGAGGCCTCCTTTTATACGGTGAGATGCGCGCGCATTCAGGTAGGCCCGCCCCGGGGCCGGCTACGTTTATGGAAGTCTTAGTGGATGAATGCTCGCATGATATGATCAAGGGGTAGTTACCCATAGAGTCCAGTAGAGGGCTCCGCCTGTGCTTATATAACAAGGGTTACCATACGTAACCCCTCGTTGTAGCGTTACTCAAACCGGAGTAAACAGCACATTTGCAGGAGAATATTTTCAGCCATGGATTATTACTCATTATGTTCTGCTGAGTATTCACAGCAACAGGACGGTGTCTGTTGATACAGCGGCCATGTTCATCAGGAAGGAGCTCGTCACCCATTTTAACATGTTACCCTTTATTCCAAAAAAAGACAGTATTCCTAGTAAGCTGTTTACATGGCTATTGAAAATAATTATTCCACTAATATTTCCATGTACATGCAGCCGATCATACCCCAATTCAAGTAAATGCTGTACTGTATGTCCTACGGCTAAGCTTTAAATAAATTACAAACCCCTCTTTTCCAACTGCAGTCATGCTGGTCCCTTGCTCTAGCTTTGTGTCTGTTCTGCAGGTTTTGCTAAATAAATTGAAAAAACCTGGCAAATGTAAGCTAGTAGGTTTGTGTACCACACACATATCTTACTGTAAACGGGTCAGTTGTAACCAGCGGTAAAAAAACCTTGAAGTTGAAATCTGAATACACTGTCCAAAGATTGCTTCTAAAACAATATAGTTTGATTCCACATGTCTTACTCGGAAAATAATGTATTCAATGAGGCCCTAATGTACAATATCCAAAAAGAATATGCTTTATATAACTCCTATAAAATAGGAAATATTGTCATTTCCACAATATTGTGTGTGAACTTATTCAGTGCTGCTCATTGATGTCTTCTTTGGAAGTCTGTGGGACAGACTAATAAGCGCTTGTCTACATGCCACTTCTCAGTAAAATCCACTCATTGCTGGTTTCAGTCTTCTCAGGGGACTTGTTGACGATAAGAACAAATAAAGAATACCACCAACTTCCTCTTTTAAAAACAGAAAGTGGAGTCTGTATGGTGAATAGACAGATAGTGAACATGGAAAAGGACTGGATCCGCATATGGAATAATTATGTCACGGTAAATTACATGCAGCACTCGTCCTTACGATTAATTTAGAAGCATGTTAACGCTGTAATGCTCAAACAATGAAGGAAGTGTCGGTCAGAGGTGAACGGTGCATTAGCTGCTGTTCATGCGTGAGAATACCTTCATTACCTTCCTGAAGAGATCCGAGTGAAGCCACTGTCACTGTAGGTAAAACCTCAGATTGCACACACACACACACACACACACACACACACACACACACACACACACACACACACACACACACACACACACACACACACACACACACACACACACACACACACACACACTCCCCCCTCGTTTTCACACAGCCATTCCCTCCACCAACTAAGTGGTAGTGGAGGAAGGGGGAGATGGGCTTTGATGTGGAGTTAGCGCAGCTATCTGAAGAGTGCTCAGCCTCCTGTATGACTAACCTGTATGACCAATTGAACACCTGGATGGATACACATAGTTCACGTTTTTGTATAACTGAACACAAAGATGAAACATATACAGTGCGTGCAAGTGTATGTTGTCAGCGGGGCAAATGTAAATATTCACTGAATATTCAGTGAATGTTTACATTTGTGTCATTTTAATGTAAAGATCAAGACAAGTGACGTGAGATAATTGATTAAAAAGCTTTATTTGTGTCTTCTAATTACACAGTAATGTATGAAAGGTCCTTAACACTAAGCGTAGATGATGGAGTAAAATGGACTTAAGGTATATTGACACCACTCTCTGTGTTATAAATAAAGATAGCTTATGGCTTAATTTTGCACTAATACTGTATGGGGGAAATAACAGCTAGCTGAAGTCTCTCAAAATGTAAATGCACGCCCTAGAATGCTATTACGTTTAACTAAGATGCTTAATGTGGTCAACCTGCTAAACATCTGCATGTTATCATTGTCATTGTGAACATGGTAGCAGGCTGTTATTAGCATTCAGCCCAAAAAACAGCTTGGCCTATTTACCTCCTTAAATAACTGCTAGCTCGGCTGTAGACTCCTCACAGTGGAAATCGCTCAGCTAACTGCTTGTCTGATAAAGACATCTCTACAGGTGTAATCAGGCTAACTACGTCCTGCAGCTCTGATTATTGAACACACAATCATGAGAGTGGTGTTGATCTTCTCATTTGATTAGAACAACTGGCATTCACTAAGGCACAAATGAACAAAAATCACAAAGACTTTCTCAGATGTTCTTTTATGTATGAGACCAATGTTCGAAAACAAGAGCACAAACCAAGAGGACAATACTATAGAAAACAATTGATTAATCAAGTACGTAAACACATAAACTGCTAACACTGTTGAAGGAATATGATTTAAGTCTCAAACGAAGACACAGCATCAGACTTTCATAAACACAATATATATTTGTTCAGCAAGTACACAGAAGTCCAGAATGAGTGTGTGTTGGGTCCGTTGAGGAAAGGTGTGTAACAGGGCAAGCTTGACTCTAGCATTTGTTACACAGTGCTGATACAATTCAATATATATTGATTATTACTGAACTAAGATAAGATAAGAGGTGCTTTATTGATCCCAAATTGGGACATGTTGGCGTTGCAGCAGCATCAAAAACAAAACAAGGCATTGCACAAAAGTAGAAATTAAAGAGTAGAAATAAACAATTCTAGTAATTAAACATCTCAAAATAGAATTAAAACAGCATTTAAAAAAGTAGAAAAATATACAGTAAACTCTGACAATAAAACACTATTGAAGAGCTTTAGACACAATATAAAGCAGGATAGTGTGTTAAATTAAATATAAATGTTATCCAGAGAACTATTTATTTGATGTCAACATAGACTTTATGAGGAATCCACTTTGAAGCATGACCCACCACCTCCAGTCGTCTCAGTCACCGCTCAACTCCCTTTTTCCCACACAGAGGACCCCAGACATGATGCTGTTCTTATTACAGCCCCTCTGCCATGGCCCCTCCAGTCCCTAACACTCGTGAATAATCTGTCTTGACTCCTGTGTCCTGATGAGTTTTACACGGTTTGACCGACCTGCCCTTGGCCAATATCGCACCAGACTCCTGGAGCGCCAAGAGCTCTTTTGACTTCTTCCTCTCTCCTTGGAGAAAAACGTTAGGACAAAGACGTCTGTCCACACATTTGATGCTTTCATTAAATTTCATTGAACCAGGTGGCCATCTTACCTGTCGTGCTCTCCGCAGCATACTAAATGTGCAATCAACGCTTTGATAGGGATCCTTGATAATGAATGAGTCACCTTGTTTGTGTTTTGAATATTTATAACTAGGGGGGAAAAATCCTCTTTGACATTGCACAGACAAGTAAAAACATCATAAATACAGGAGGATAAATACATAAAAAGTCATACTTTTGCAGCGCATTCATATTAAGCTCCCAGCTATAAACAGGAATATATTTGTTTGTGAGGCGTGTGAAAGCTGGACACGCTCCACAATCATCGCTGCCCTACCTTCCAGTTTCTCTCTCGTGCTGAGTGACTCATGACATCGTTTGCTGATTGGCTCCTTTTCTTTGGTTTCCAGGACGACAACTCCATGTTTTTCCAGTTCGGTCCGTCCATCGAGCAGCAGGCCTCCGTCATGTTGAACATCATGGAGGAGTATGACTGGTACATCTTCTCCATTGTCACCACATACTACCCTGGCTACCAGGACTTTGTCAACAAGGTAAATAAACACAGATACAGACATACAGGTAACATGCAGCTTGCTCTGTAAACAGCAGGACTATAACGAAAGAGTTCAGGCATCTTTATTAACAGGCCGTCAGCAATCTAACAAAACTGAGAGGTATATTTGTTGAAGATAGTTCATTTAATAAAAAGACTGATTTAATCCATTGCATCCCTTTATTCAAATGAAGCATGTTGTTCAAGGACTTCATTTTATTTAATTTTTTAGGCGAATGATGTCATAAAGAAGATAGACCTTTTATTTGAAAACTGCTTAATAAAAGCTTTAAATGTAAAAAAAAGACATTTGGCAGTCTGGTTGTATCGTATACTTAATGGGCATTTATCGCAGTAGGTGTGTATGCACTACCTTTATATATAATATACCACTAAAAGAACAATGAAGCTGAAAGAATACTTTCTGTTGATATAAATGTATCTCTCACATGAAAGCGGACTCCAGAAGCAGCAGGAGTCTTATTATAAAGCTAGTGACAGTACACTTTTTCAACCATTGATTCAAAGGAGAAATTCACTTTTGCACTGAGTACCAGACCCATTATGTATTATTACCTTTGTCTTTCGGGACCCATTATAAAACAAATATTGTGGTTTGTCATATTGTGTTCTTATCCTTTCATGAGACCTGCTGCTTTCAGTATTCTGCTCAAATACATCAAATTGCTCTTTTTCATTGCTCATGAAAAAAGAAACTACCTTTTTCTTTCTTTTATTGAACAAATTGAACGTTGGACTGAACACAAACGGCACCAATAGAAAAAGATAAATACTGCCATTTAAAACCTTTACTAGTACTCCTTTTCAACGAGCTAAAAAACTATAGTTAATTGAGTCGATCAATAGAGTGCAATATTGCAGTATTTTACATTGTGTAGTAGTAGGGTTGTTATATTATACTTATACTGTATTATAAACAAAATGGCTGTTTACATTTGCTTTAATTGAAAGAAAATGTAATTAAGTAATTTATTGAACATGCTGTAGTACTGCTAACATGTACATTCACATGTTTTAATTATATAATATGACAGTTACATGCTGATTATAAATATAATTGTGTTCTAATTCCTTTAAGGGTTATTTTATCTAATTATAATAACTATATTATTAATAGCCAGGCACTATGTACAGCTGGTGAAACGATCCTTACAAATGCTTCTTTTTCCAAGGACATGATTTTCTGGTTTTTAGCCAAAATAATGTCAAGCTTTTAAAAGTGATAAGGTTTGGCAGAGTGTGATGTAAGTGGGTAGCGACTTCCATTTTCTGATTGCTTTAATGTGAAAGGCAGATTGGCCGAGCATGTCTTTTTGAATGCGGCCCCTCAGTGAGGAGTCCTTATCTTCAGGGCTCTGAGCAGACTCTTTAAAGGGGACGGCATGAGACCCTGAATAACTTTGAACATCAGACACACACCGGAACAGAATAAAGTTATGGAAAGTCAGCTAATCATATTTCCCTTCTCTGAACAAATTTAGAGGGTTTTAAAGAGAGAAAATTGTATATATGAATCTAAGTGAAGGTTATGAATCAGGATATTTAGTGCCTATTGTTTATGAACTACATATGTATATAATGTTTAGTCTCATATTGCCTTTTTCTTAAGAGTTTACTGTTCCTATTGTATATCTGAAAACAATATTTGAAAATATATTTTTTTTAACAACTCAAAGCCCCAATGAATTGAGCAACAAGAAAAGCTCCAGTGCCAAAATCCCATTCTATCCTACTGTCTCTCCTCTCGAGCAAAAATCAGACACAGCTAAGAGATTCAAGGTTCCTTTTTCTTCTTTCAATACAGAGGGAAATAATAGTTATAATGGGAAAGGCTGCTCTCGGTCTGCCTGTTACTCAACCTCTATGACTCCCTTTGAATTGATTACCTCAAGGAACAGCTATTACTCTCTTTCTGAAACAAAAACAAGTATTTCATCCTAATGCCATGTCCAAATGTAGCTTCCTTAATACTTAAAATCACTCCTTGCTGCATATAATCTATTAACCCTGTGGTGTTGTGCTCGGGGAGAATAAGAAAGTCACGATTTTCATGAGAGCTTCCACTACCTCACATCACTCTTGTCCTACTCCCAGGAGATGTGTAAAGACAGAACAGTTTTGCTATCTGGGATCTGGAGGAGGAGAAATATCAGTCAATTCTGTTCCAGTATCTCTCTTAACAACTTGACTGTATGTGAGCAGCCCACGCTTTTTCTAAATCTCTCTTTCCTATCTAGGTCCGAAGCACCATCGATAACAGCTTTGTGGGCTGGGAGCTGGAAGAAGTCTTCTTGCTGGACATGTCATTGGAAGACGGAGACTCCAAGATCCAGAACCAGCTGAAGAAACTGCAGAGTCCGGTGATCCTGCTCTACTGCACCAAGGAGGAGGCCAGCACCATCTTTGAGATGGCTCACTCTGTGGGCCTCACAGGGTACGGCTTCACCTGGATCGTGCCCTCGCTGGTGGCTGGAGACGCAGACATCGTCCCCGATGTCTTCCCCACAGGTAAACACAAACACCAGCGGCCCGCTTCACGAAGATAGACGCTGACTCTGGCATTGATCCACCTGCTGAGTCAGACCCTAGATAGATGACATGGTTTATTCAAAGGAACCCCATCAACTGAGGCTGTGGCAGTTACCTAATCCTCCAGAGGTGCACAGTCAATATGTAACATATTACAATTGAAATTCAATTCAAAGCCAGTCAACACCGTACATGCAATTGAGTAAAGAAGAATACTAATCATAATCCATATATAGATGATGTAAATGAGAACCATACAACTCTTATGAAACAGAAACATTAAAAACACGCACAAAGTTATGTCTCCTACTTCTCAGTATTTTATCTGCATGCGCATTATTGCTTCCCTCTAAATTATTTTTTAAAGGAAAAAAAAGATAAAAACAGATATTAATCTGTTGCACAAAGCAGTCTATTTCTTACCTGATCTTTAGTAGGACGACTGTACTTTTCTTTGTATTCTCTGTCAATTTAAAACCATATAAGACATTATTAAAACACTTCAGACGTAGAGCTGAGACGGGGCAGGGCTTCTGCTCACTAGTCATTAAGGCTAGTGAGGTTTATTTCCAAGGGGATACTGCAGACTCTGGAAACTATTTCCCTCCTTTGTGCTCACATTGTTAGCAAACGTCAAATTAAAATAAATTTTGTTTCTTTTATATTTTGGTCATCAGGTGTCCCTTATTGTTACATTGGAGACATGGCTCTCGTGTGAGCCTGGGGGCATGGTGGATGCTCTTATGGAATACAAAACAAGTCTCAAAGAATTCTTGTTAAAACAAGCCTAACACAAAAGACCAGCATATACTATACTTGTGAAACAGAGTAAGAGGTGTTCTTAACATTTAATGGTTTAAATAGAGATACTCCGTTGCTGACATAACAAATGCAGGTAATTAAGGCTTTTGCAGAGAGGAGCTCATTAGGTGCCTCATGTCAAAGTTTAAACATTAAGTAACTATTGCCAAATTAATTATGATGCATCTTTTTTAATTATAGCGTAAACAACACCAAAACAACTAACTGTCGCTCTCTCTTTTTCTCCCTCTCTCTTTCTCTCTCCTCAATCAATGGTGTTATTAACAGTTTTTAAAATTGACACCACTTGACTTGACTGGATAAGATGAACATCCTCAGAGGGAGTTTTCAAGGGTTTGTTTGTCCTAAAACATGCCCTGACAGTCATACAGAATATATGTAATCAAACTGCAGCTCTGGTGCCCTCTTGATGCTCTGTGCCATTAAGCATCCTTTTTAAACTGTGAACATCCTACCCAGGGCACAGGATGTAAAACACTCTTACATTTTGGAGTGGTTGAAATGCTTCCTGTTTATCCTCTGCTTCATTGCTGTAGAGCTAAACACTGCAATCTGTATTACAATATTATGTGATAAGTTTTCCAAAAGCTTCATATTGAAATGTGGGCACAAGTGACAGATGGGCTGGTTTGCATATATGCAAATGTCCTCATTGTTTATTTGCACTACACTGTGCAAGTCAGAGATAAGGTGCATACCGATTTCTGTTAACCTCAGGTGAATGACTTTTAGGGGTTCATATCTGTTCATTTTATATCATTTTATTGTGCAATTTCTTACACAGATATGAGATAATAAAGACGGAAAAGCTTTATTTGTATAGTGTGGCCATCAGCTGTGAGCCGGCCTTACCAGAGACATTATGAGCGTCTTAATGGTAGTATTCAGAAAATATCTCTGAACCCCTTTGTCATTTTACTAAAGCTTTCCCTCACACCTTCATCTTCACCAAGCATGTCTGAAGCGCTTATTTTGACTCCTGTATTTCCACATTTTAACTTGTGTGTGAAACCAGTGACAACACCAAGGCTGTCTGAACATGCAGCTTTGCCTTTTTTCCAAAAGATGTACTGTTTAATGTTTCAAATGTGAACACATAATCCAAACCAGCCACACAAAATGACCTGAGAGCGCAGTTGTTCATGGGTGTACTGTAAGAAATGGATGCTGACATGTGATAGCCAGCAGTTCCTCATGCTTGGAAAGCCAAGCATAACAAAATGAGCTGAGGGATGTTGGTGGTCTCCACTGACGCTCACATTCAGCAGCTTGTTTTCATGCCATTTCAACCTGTAAGACCTAAGTAACACTTTGACTGTGGCTTGTGTAAAATTAAGATATTTTAGGTATGACTGCCCTCATGATTTGGTCCCAGTGTTTTGCCACTTTTCAGCCTCTTATAAAAGACTTTCATTTCTTTTCCCCCTCCTGCATTTTTTTATCGCACTCTGCCTGCCTTTTTGTAACCTCACTCTCTTCTCTCCCCCCCTCTCCTTTTCATCTTTCTCCATATTTCTTTCTTTTCCCACTTTCCATTCATCCTTTTTCTCTCACCTCTCTCTCCATCCCTCTCTCTCTCTATCCCAGGGCTTATCTCTGTGGCATATGACGAATGGGACTACAACATCGAGGCCAGGGTACGTGATGCAGTGGCTGTCATAGCCACGGCGACCTCCACCATGATGCTGGACCGGGGGCCGCACACCCTGCAGAAGTCCAGCTGCCTCGGGACTCCGGACAAAAAGGGCTCCAACACTGGCCACTCCAAGGAAATACTGAAGTGAGTCAATGCAGCGGGGAGGGGCGGTCAGAGGGAAGGAGGGGGGAGGGGCGGGGGTAGAAAGATACAAATATTAGTGATGAACACTGAACGTGTGTAAGTAAAATCACACACCTGAATAGCTTCTGTCCAATCATAGTTCACCAACTGTTACCAGCCATGACAGGGCTGTCACATCTTTAGATTTCTCTACATGCTGAAGCGTTGCACTCTTGTTTTGGAACAGGAAAAGGAGCAGAGACTCTACCTCTGCTTTTTCCTGTCAATGAGTGAAACCCAGAGTGTTTCAACACTTGTTGACCATACTTTGGAAGTGCATTGTATGACCAATATCTTAGACCTTCCACTCTCAATTGTGATCCCACTTTCATTTGTGTTTTCTTGAGAAGAAAAAGCTTAACTGAAATCAAGCAATTTAATTGTATTATATAGATTCAGGTACGTTTTAGACTTAAGTAAATTCATTTTTTTTCACTTACTTTATTTGGTTAGGTTACATGCTACTTATGATAAATAAGTATTGGCTTACACTAGCTTCCTCCAGTTGATAAACTCTGCTAGTGACAGTTGTCAAACCCAGAGAAGCTGCTTTGTTTAATACATTGACCCATTGTTTGAGAATTACTGTGAACTACTGGAACACGTTTGTTTTAATTCACACTTTCAGCACAGATCTTTTGTCTGTTGCGTTGTCACTTCAAATACACAAGCTGTGCTTCTGATTAAATACTACTTGAAGTGTTTACCTGGTACAGGAAAGACATTCTTACTTTGCTGGAAAAACATGGCAAATGAAAAAGCAATACACCATGTTAACCTAATGGTTATCTGCTTTGTAATATATTTAGCTACAAAAATGATAATGGGATCATGTACAAAACAACAAGAATGGCTGAATGTATTTATATGAGTCAGAGTCAAGGGATTCTGCTGGTATAATCACAGGAAGAAAATGTGTAGTTTGGTTTTCTGTGGCTGAAACACAGTAAAAAATATGACGATAAATCCAGCAGACGGGCAGTACAACATAGACTGGAGATACACACAGGCAAGACAACACGTTCCCTAAGGAGAACCACTATCTGTTTAATTAGCCAATAAAAACATGAGATGAACAGCGACATTAGGCCTCAGACTTATTACAACACTTTGTATTATCTTTAGCTTAACCCACAGCCATCTTTTCCTCTTCCTCTGAACTTCCTTGTTTTTCGCTTTTTGGCACATTACAGAACAAGCAGGAGCATTGGTATTCAATAATTAATCCCCATTTAACTTCATAGGGCAGGCTTTTACAGTGCACATTGATCAGCGATTCCACAGTTAATTGAATGCTCGGGGACATCTGGATTAATGAAAAAAGAGCCAAAGAACAAGAGTGGACTTATAGCGAGCCCACAGAAGCACACATGCAAACACACATGTTGTTATAGCATGACATTTTACTGCTCTTCAGGGTTTAATCTAATAAAGGCTTAGAGTTACTGATGTCATTCCTTATTAGATGTTTTTCAGCCTTACACAACTATGCGCCTGCCTGCCTTTCATCCCTCTGTTTTCCGTATACTTAACATTTTCTCTGCTTTTGTTTGTTTGTCTCACTGTCAGTTTGAATTTGAGGAATATAAAGAACTAGGGAAATATTATGCAACCTCCCCTGGCACTGCTGCATTAATCTCCAGGTTGAGGTTGATGTATTACTGTAGATTTGGGTCTCATTTACCCATGTTTCTGTTTTTAATATCAGGGGCACTTATCCGTGCTGTGTAGCAATCCGCCACCAACACACCTGAGAAAACAATAACACCGCAGCCATGAATATTTCAGTCCCCAAAGGGCGCTATCAGACACAGGGTTAGCTCTCAATCATCCGTCAGGCACACACCTGGGACGGTGTGTGTGTGTGTGTGTGTGTGTGTGTGTGTGTGTGTGTGTGTGTGTGTGTGTGTGTGTGTGTGTGTGTGTGTGTGTGTGTGTGTGTGTGTGTGTGTGTGTGTGTGTGTGTGTGTGTGTGTGTGTGCGTGTGTGTGTGTGTATGCGTGTGTGTGTGTGTTCGTGTTCGTGTTCGTGTTCGTTCCAACAAACCATCCAATTTTTCTCCATTTGACTGAGCAAAAGTAGAGACTCTGGATTGGTGGGTTTTGGTGGTAACCCTAGAGACCTGAAACACACACACACAATTCCACCTATTCCATCCCCTCACCCCCAGAGACAAAAGCAATAATAAGGCCATATGTCTCTGCGTGGTCCTGTATCGCTGGGGGCCACAGTGGGCTGCATGCATGCTGGGTAAGCATGCCATCCTGTCAGCGCTGATGGACAGGAGAGATGGGAGGCCCCAGTGAGTCACGCTCTCAAATTTGTTTAGGGGCTGCTTGACCTTATGGGGCACACACACAGAAACACGCATATATAAATACATGCATAAACCGAAAACTCTCGCAACACAAATAAGTAAACACACACACACACATAGCTCTAGAGGCCATCCATTGTATTTCCTGCCAGACGGAGAGGACAGGAACACTTGGGTAATGAGAACATGTGCTCCAAGTGGTTTTGGTTCAGGCACTCAGGGGTTGTATGTTGCAGGGGAAGAGATGTTTCTTATTATTTTTTTTGAATCTGTCTGTGCGCTTGCGTTCGAATTGCCTCTCAAATCCCTGTGCTGATTGAAATGCCGCACGGGTAGATATGATGCAAGTGATGATTAATAACTTGAAGTGAGATTACTTTCATGTGATCTGACGCTTGCCTTCATGTCTTTGGGCCGGCTGCAGTCCGAGGCGTATACTAGAGCTCAGTGAGAAATATTCGTCTGCAGGCCAACTGACCCGTGTGCTGCCTCATGCATGTTGTTCTCATTCTGTCTCACCTTTAAAGTAGATGGTGTTATTACATTTCTTAATGGGCTCAATGAAAGTGTTGGTCTTATAAATCCTTGCACAGTTTATTAGAAGTCAAGAAGGCAATTTCATGGCGCTTTTGGACATTGAGAGAACAAATTACGTATTTTTTATAGACCCTTTCTTTCCCTGGAGGTGTGACAGAAATGTACACGTGTCTCCTGCACGCCATGTCACTCAGCCTCTCTTATCTGAACTACTGTAGGACTGAGTATTGTCAGATCTTCCACCCTTGGTTCTCCTGTCTTTCACATTTCTGGCTCTGCAATGCTCTTACAGCAGTCCATTCTCACTGTAAAGCACTTTCAATTATATTAAATGAAGCTAGAACCTTTAATCAGAACGAAATGTTGGCACACATCCTAATTTCCTATATATACATACATTGTAAAGATGGAAGATTATTGTATTTAATGACAGGGTTACTTTTATTTACCTCATTTCACTCATCTGTGTCCTTTACCTTATTCCTGTGAGGGACATTTAATTGCCGTTGATATAACCAATCGATATTTCATATGGCCTTTTACTTATTGGATCTGTGACCAACATCGCACATCTGTTTAAAGTTCAGTGCTGTGACGAGATTATAACATGTTTCAGTGTTACCGCAAGTACATAAATGTACTTTTTTATGTTTTACTTCCATCCATTTTTATTTTCATTTGAGTTTTTTAAGCCACTAAGTTTTCTTAGTGTAGTAACTTAATACACATACAGTCGTTTTAAACAGTACATAATTTGGCTCTTGTTGGACTTTGATAAACATGAGGGAAAGGGCTCTGTTGAATCCAGGTTTCTAAAGACTTGGTGTCAGGTGTGTGTAGCAAATAGCAAAAGGAAACAATGTCAACAAACTCACAAAATATGTTATAAGTGGATCATCAGAGGCAGAACATACATTTTTTTTTCTGTCATTCAAAACAATAACAAAGACAGAATTTGGTTGCGTGGGATCACGGGAGTTTGTCGTTGCTCTCAGCTTCTCCCTGGTAGGATTTCTTTATTTGTCATTCTTCAGGAGGGTTTTACAGAGAACCAAATTATCCCTATATGTCTCCTCGTCTCCAAAATAAATTAACATGGTTCTTGAAACTGTTAAAAACAATTACTTAAACAGTTTCATGTACAAACGTCTGATAAAGTTTATGGAGAGAAAGACCCCCTGGAGGGTCTGCAGGCCGAGTTGCCACCAACGTTTGCTCAGCTTATTTCTCTGATAAAATATATAGTCAAAAACAACCAGTGTGTCGTGTATGTTAAAACATTTTAATGTGGTGTAAACTGACATTAGACTTATTTTACCTTTTAAACAAGCAAATTACATTAGTCAATCAGTAAAAAGGTTGTTTGAGTTTCTCTTTGGCGTTGAAGTATGCATTGGCAAGTCACAATTCAAATGAAATCATCAGATAAATTATTAAAAAGCTTTTCAGTCTAACCCTGTCCAAAAATATCTTCTCTCCAAAAAGACATCTTAGTAAAGTGCTGTTAAAGAAAAATCCATGTTACCTTGAAACAAAATCTGATGATTTTTCCTGAGATGAGAGACGACCACTAGAAACATTTGAATGTAAGTTTTGCAGACTGTGGAAGGTCAGTGTCCTTGTCTGTTAATTCCTTGTTCACATTTTAAATGAGAGAAGGGGGTCTCTGATTCACTTCTCTCTCTCCAGACTCCACAGACCGTCTGATGTCTCCTGCTCCACAGGGGACCTCATGGCTCAGATCACATGGCGCTCCTCTGGACTCACTTATTAAAGGCTGCAGCTCAAAGACACTCAGAGCCTCACATCTCTCCTATGAGTTGTCCACATCACTCTCTATTCATGCTGACAGAGGGGAGCCACCATTCATAAATGAGTCAATAAATAAACAACACATTTATTCTTTTATTTGTATGGTTTTTTTGTATTCAGTTTCAGTCCCAATAAATACATTTTGGGGGGATTTTCAAGTAAATCCAACAATGTATCTGGGAGAGATGCTAGTTGGTGGCTACTTTGAGTCACTTGGTAAAACAGTTGACTTTGACCAAACTGGCTGTCATTGGACTTTATTTAATGAACACAATGATGAGTCATGCTATAAACAATCAGGCTGATGGTTCTTGCTATTTCATTATTCACAACACAAACTATTCTTTTATGTGTGAACGTGATAACAATAAAAATATTTAATTCTTGAAATATCACGGTTATCATCCATAACAGTACATTGCAACATCACTAGATGTAGTTAAAAGTAGCCCTGGAGATTCTTTACTTTTCAGATGAAATATGTTTTAGTGAAGCATGTCACGATCCCACCACGCCTGGCTCTGACTCACACACCTCGGTACAGGAGTAACAGCCGCTGCTTCACAAAAAGCAGAAATTAAAAACAATAAATCTAAGATCTAGCACTGAGGCTTGCAGTGTGAATGTAATTTGTTCTGGAGTGAACCCTGAGTGGCACAGCTCTTACACCGTACGTACTCTTAGCATAATTTAACATATTTTTAAATTCTTTCATATTACAGTCTCCTCACACCGTCCCTGTACCCTACAGGAAATGTAATGTGCAGAACACATTTCATCAGGAGTTGGTAACTCTTCAGAGTCAGGTCTTCTGCAGTCATCCCAGATTATGAGTCATCCACCCATCCATACAGTATGTGTGTGTGTGTGTGTGTGTGTGTGTGTGTGTGTGTGTGTGTGTGTGTGTGTGTGTGTGTGTGTGTGTGTGTGTGTGTGTGTGTGTGTGTGTGTGTGTGTGTGTGTGTGTGTGTGTGTGTGTGTGTGTGTGTGTGTGTGTGTGTGTGTGTGTGTGCAATCCACAGATTTACTTGCAGTAATGCACATCCTGGTTATTTATAATTGCATCCCTGTGATGCAGCGACAGAGAATGTGTGACCCTGTACGGCTTCACTCCGAGATAAATTAAATTCATATCAAGTGGTCCTCAAACACATATGACGAGATATTAGAGGGAAGAAGCGGGATTGTGTCCCTGCCATTGATGATTCAGTGTCTCTGTAACTAAAACATAAATTCCCCTCACAGCCAGTGATTAGTTGGGGAACAGTTGGTGAGCCGTGCTGCATATGGCTGTGATGAAGCAGCACGAGGCTCTGCTAGCTGCTCATCACAGTAGTTTTAATTTTTCTTCTTCCAGCAGAGAGAAATTCTGACATGAGAAGGGATCAAACGGCGCATAAAACCTACATCAATAGAACAGGGACACAAAAAGAGAAAAAAGAGCAGCCTCCTCTTCTGTAAATTCACAGCATGCACCAGTCTTTGTGCCGGCACAGGTTAATGTGCGGGCAAACGAATCCTATTGATGTGTGATTTGATGCGCTACTCAGAGGTGAGATGGAGAGATTGATCTGAGAGTGAAAGACAGCATGAGGGGAAGTGGGTAAACACTCAGGTTTGGACAGAAAAAAAATACTCCTCTCTGTCAACCAGCCCCTCTGAGGGTGACATTACTGTTCCCATGGCAACGCAGCTGATTGCAGGAAAAATTGCTGTGGTTGTGGGTGCCATGGCAACACATTACATTATGCTGGTGTTAAGACACTCCTTGCATGTGTCCCTATGTTGCCGTTTTGCGTAATGCTTACACATGTCAACTCCGTCCCGATGACACACACACACACACACACGAAGTAGAGGCCGCTACTGGTCACAGAAGTCTCCATGGCGACAACAAGTTGGACCTCCTGAGCCTCCACACACACACACACACACACCGCCTTGATCTGTTCGGTTTCCTATTCACACCGAGATTATGTTTGGGAGGCTAATCCCATGTTACACACGCATTATAGCACTTACAGTGTGCCAGCCAGTGTGCAGCAATAGGCATTTCATGGAGGCTTGAGGCACATTATTGACTTTCTCAAAGCGTGTGTGAGGCGAGATATAAATATAGTCAAAGACACTCCAGATAGAGTTACTGAATGTCCTAGTAGGAGGTACTTGCGATAAAATCTTGGGTACGTTTCAGGTCGGCTGCTCATCTGAATAGTTTAATTGTCTTTTTTTCACACTGTTGACTTGGCTGGAGATGATGGTGGGTAAATTCAACACACTCACATACGCAGCCCCTCACTCCTGAAGTCAGACAAGATATTTATTTCTCCGGTGGATTGTTTCAGAGGCAGAGCGTCTCCATGGTGATTGCAGCCCACAGATCAGGACGGGGAAGAGTGCGGGAAGGAGGCGGCAGCGAGAAAGCGAGATGATTTAAGCTTATCTGCCACTGCTGTACACTTGTTGACACACATATATGATTGTGTATTCATACAGGCGGGTAATACTCTCTCCTACACCTCTCACTGCTGTCTCTCTCTCTCTCTCTGACTGACACAGCTCCCTCTGCTCCTTCTTTATGTGTATGAGTCTATCAGGTACAATTTGTTTTGCCACCTATCAAAGATGACCAAGCATCTGTGACGTACTAAAGGCTAACTAAGCAACGTTTCAGGCGGGGGGGGGGGGGGAGTGTGTGGGAGAGAAACTCCCTATGGAAGGAACTCAGGGTTCAGCCTTTGCAGACCATTTGCATTCACAAAAAACTACAGGAAAGGGAAAACCCAAAAAGCAAAATAGTGCATTTTAAAAGTAGTATAATAATATGAGTAGTACATCATTTTCAACATGTAAACTAATAAAATATAACAGCTTTCCACTCTATTGATCCACATACAGATCTCGTATTGTGTCACAAAATACATCACAAAACAAACAAGACAAATAATAAAACAATGAAAAACATATATAAAAATCAAGGAAACTGAAAAGTGTTGTGAAGAACAAAAGGAAGTAAATGTTCTAATAAAGTACCAAGATTTATATTTCCACACAAAGATACATAAAAAAACCACTAACAAATAAAATACATATAAATATATGAAATGTAAAGAGATAATTATACATATCTGCAGACATTATATTCTGAACCACATTTGATAAAAGAACATTACTAGTATTTCACAACTAGAATTTCAATGTATGAGTCATTGAAAAGACCAGCTGTGTATGGTGTTTTTGAATGTATAAGATAGGTTCCCTGATTTTATGCGTCCGTTTCCTCTTCTCTTCAGTGGGAGGGACTGTTTTAACCGTGAGCTTGTTAGCCTCATGTCTTAGAAAAGAATCAGAATCAGAAATCCTTTATTTGTAAAAAAAACTGAGAGGAAAAAATAATATGTATACAAATAATGGTGAAATTGCAGTTGGTTATATTGCACAAAGTTGTATACTTACAGACAGTGTTATTGCACAACAGGGGTTTTCCAGTCCAGTCTATGTGTGTGGGGGTCTACCAGGAGCCGTGGTGGTGGTGCAGTCTGACCGCTGCAGGAAGGAAGGACCTGCGTTATCTCTCTGTGAGACACAGCGGGTGAAGCAGCCTGTCGCTGAAGGAGCTGCTTTAAAGCATCTTATCCTGTGATCACAGATGTGTTTGGTCTAGCGTTGAAGCGCTCTTTAACCCTGTTCTCAGCAGCCAGTCTGGTCGGCTGAAAATTAAGTTCCCATAAACTAAACTTCAATTTAATTTTGAAACGTTTCCAGGTGGCTGGTTTATTTTCGGTGTGAAAGCAATATTCAATGTTGACTTATTGTGGATTACGTCTGTAACTTTAATAATGTTTAAATTGAATCATAATGGTTATAATTGAGTGGTTTGATTCTGTAAACTACAGTACCTATTAAATGTTTTACTATATGTTTAAAACTGTGACCCCAATCCAGGACAAAATAATTGTCCCTACTCTGAGAATGCAGTTTAGTTGTTTGGGAACATCATTTTATGGGACAGGTTTCCATGCAGGAGCAGCAGCAGCAGAAAAACTCTAAAAACAAAAGCACAAACTTGCTCAGCACCAAACAGCAAACACAGTTAGAAACTAGCTGGTGAACATTGGCTAGTGGAACATTTAGCAGTTATATTATTATAAATAGTCAAAAGTTTCAGTCAGCAGAACAAATCGGAGCCAACAAAGTCCTAATTTGACTTTTAAACAGTAGTATGAATGCAGTGTTTCTGCTGGGTGTGTAAATAAGCAGCTGTTTGTTAACAAAAAATACTTTAGTGATAGTATGTCAATAATATGTTGTTTACAGATTGTTGCGTTGCTGTTGGGAACATTTATATATTTCACCACCATTTTGAGTATTTGTGGGAGATTTCAATTATGTTTCTTATCCATTATTTATTTGTAATGTTGTGGGTAAGAAATAATGTTAAGAGGCTCAACCCGCTTGATTTCAGATCATAAGACAGATCATCTTCCATCATATTTCTTGTATATTCTAATGTTATATTTATATTTTCCGATTGTCGTTCTCAGGTACCTCATGAATGTGACATTTGAAGGCAGAAACCTGTCATTTAGCGAAAAGGGTCACCAGATGTTTCCCAAACTGGTCATCATTCTTCTCGACAAGGACAGACAATGGGACAGGGTGAGTAACTCCTCTCCTCTCCTCTCTTTTCCTTACCTTCTTCTTCTTCTCTCTTTTTGGTTTCATTTCCTTCTCTTCTCCTTCTCATCTTGTTTCTTCTCCTTTTCTCTTTTCTACTCGTTTCCTATCCTTCCTATCCTCTTCTTCCTCGCCTTCTCCTCTCTTCCTAATTTGCCTTCTTGTCCTCTTCTCTGCTTCTTCTTCTCTTCTAGTGTCAACCTCCTCCTGCACCTTATTCTGTCCTTCTCTCTTCCTCTAAACTATCTCCTCTCTTTTTTCCCTGCTTGGTATGTTGCCCCTCTGTGTTGTGTCTGTCACTTCTTCACTTGAAGTGTCTCTCTGCCACTTGAAGTCCCTGTTACAGTAGCCCGTAAATCACAGTGTCTCTCTCCCACTCTCACATGCAGGTTGGCAAGTGGGAGAGAGGCTCCCTGACGATGAGGTACCATGTGTGGCCTCGCTTCGAGGAGGAGCGGGAGGACCACCTGTCCATCGTGACTCTGGAGGAGGCGCCGTTTGTGATTGTAGAGGACGTGGACCCGCTCAGTGGGACCTGCATGAGGAACACTGTGCCGTGCCGAAAACAGCTCAAACTAACGTGAGAGTTAAGACATGATAAACAAAAGTGTGTTCGTTTTTTCCCCCCTTTTCTTCCTAAAGACATACAGTTTGTGTGTCTGGATTTGTTTTACTAAGTGAATGCATTATGCATATTTTTAAGTCAAGTGCTAATAATAGAACACTTTTTCTTTATGAAACTAAGAGTGTTAAACATATACAGTACATTATAATCAAAATGGCTGCAATATGAATTTCTGGTATATCCGGTTTTGTTTTCAAAGTTGCAAATCACTAGTATAAAAAACACAAAAAACACAAAAGCTGCTTAAGTACTCTAACATAATAATTATGTAAACTGTTAATATAACCAAAGGATAATACAAAAATAAAACAATGTTATAATAAAACTTGCCTGTAAAGATGGAGGTGAATGCTCACATCCATGATTTATTTGACATTTTTCTTGAATGTTCCCTTTTTTTAGGCGTCTTCTGTTTCTTTGCTTATTATTTCCTTGATTTAGAACAATTGAAGCATTTTCCTCATCACACAATCTCCCGGTGTCCTTTGATTACCTCTACCTGCTTCAGTTCTGCTAATTAGATCATTGTCTTTGTCTCTGTCGGTGTTGTCCTCCCTCCCTGCCTCTTCACCATCTTGCTATCCACTTCTCCTTGGTGTGCAATAATGGATTGTTTTTCAATGGCCTCCTTTTCCATCACTGGCCTACCTGAAACCTCCTGAGGTTGTCCTACATTTCTGGCTCAGTGCTTTTCTTATTGACTGATCTTCCACCCCGTTCTTTCTCCTATGGCCCCTTTCGCCTTCTCTCAATCCGTCCGTCTCTTCCATCAGACATTTCATGACATACAGTATTTCAGGAAAAGGCAGCAATATGCCACAGACAATATGTAGGATTTCTCTCAATGAAAAATACTCCATGAGCCAGATGTACAGGGTTTTGCAGATTTTTATTTAGAAGACCAAGCTTTATCATTTGATCTAAGAAAAGATTTCTCAATGCATTGAAACATGTACATGCAATAGCCCAGGATGAAACCAAATCCCAAAGATCTTCCCAAGTGTGTCCTCAAATATGACAAAGAGAAGCAGCATATACTCACATTTGAGAAGCTGCAACCAGTAAATGTTTGGCCTGGTGGCAAAAAACTACGAAAAGTAACCAGTAAATGTTTTGAACATATATGTTTTCACTGAGCAGGACCTGGTGTTTTTATTGTATGCCTTAACATAAACCCCATGTTCTCGGGTTACTTTTATGTAAATCCATATTTTTTTCTTGAATGAAATATCTCAAAAACATTTAAGGGAATTGATTAAATTTGGAACAAATGTCAACTTGCACTCTGAACTGATTAGATTTTGTTGGTCAAAGGTCGTGAACTCACATGGCACAATTTGGGCCTCAAGAATTCATATGCTTATAAACGGGATTCACAAAATGTGTACTAGGATAAAGTGATGACATTTTGGACAGACATGGATAGGGAATAGTTGGTGGAGGAATACAATCATGGGCGGTATTAATAAGAAACTGGGGGGAGTTTTTTGTGGGAGGGAAAACCTGCACAATCCAGACACATGTCAGCTTGTTGTTTTATTTCACTTTTATTTAATCTCATCCCTGCTTATTTCCTCTCTCTTTTACATCTGCTAGTTTGATTAACTTGAACCCAAATAAACTGTACTTCCTCTTCCCCTACCTTTACTCCCTCCCTTCCTCCCCCTCCAGCAATCAGACGGGGGATTCGGGGATTTACATCAAGCGCTGCTGCAAAGGTTTCTGTATCGACATCCTAAAGAAGATCGCCAAGGCGGTCAAGTTCACCTACGACCTCTACCTGGTCACCAACGGCAAACATGGCAAGAAGGTTAATGGGACATGGAATGGCATGGTTGGGGAGGTAAGGCCTTTATTTTACTCATAATCATACACATGTTATGCATGAATTGAATCGCAAGAGCACTTTACCTAAACTGTAATTATATTAAATTATTTTTAACTGACTTCCATCATAAGTAGCATAGTATTTTTGTAAATTTGCCTTGACTGCAGGTCTTTTTCATCATTGGCAAACATTGAACTCACCATCGTGGGTGGTTTAAGTATTCCTACCACCATTTACTGTAAGTACACATTTTCTTGAAGCTTAGTGCATTCAGTATGCCTCCCTGAAGACATGCAACACTATTTATAATAACACAGTGAAACAAGTCATTATAAAACTTAGTCTGCTTCAGATGGCAGGGGTCAAATTTAACATCTGCTATTTTTTTGTGTAAGAAACCTTTGCGATTTCAGAGTATAGCTGAGAATTTGGTTACCGAGCTTTGCTTTGTCTTAGCATGTGTTAATATTCCCTGATGGAGGTCCTTTTAAAAATTGTAACTCTGAAATGTAAAATGAATAACTCAATTTGGACCACTCGAATACTGGCTTCACAAATATGAACCAAAACAAAATGTGGCCATTGAAACTAAAATGCAGTGTTACTTTTCTGTTCATAAACCCATCATAACACACCAACACTGAATCTAATGCTGGTTGAAAAATGCAGCAGTTATAGATGAATCATTCTTAAATCATTACATTATTTACATGTATTCATTCAACTTTATGTTTACTTATTTAATGTTTGTAGTATGTTTGATGTTTTTTCCGTCTCCTTGCCTTACCTCTTAAAATCGCTGCTCTTATAGCAGTTTGTGATTCACTATTATTTTTATAATGTGTAATTCAATGCACACATTACTAATTTATTTTAAAAATAAAATAAAAAAGCAAGTAACTATGTCATTTAATAATAATGCTAACTACTGCAACTGGGTTTTGGAGCCCCGAGGAATTTATTTTGATGATAGGTCTAATTATATACTGTCTGAATGTCTCCTTCTCAATGTCTCTGTCCGCCATCAGGCTGCACTTGTTCCCCATATGTGGCCTGAGGGGGGTGGGGGGGGGGGGGGATCAGCTCTGCAAATCCTGAGGAGGAGAGCAATGAGGCTCCTAATCAGAGATGGAGAAAGAAAGAGACGTTGAGAAAGAGAAAGTGATTGGAAGAGAGAAGGAGAGAGAGGAAGCAGCCTCAGGGAAAAACCCTGCTCTCCTGAACACATCAGCACAATGCAGTCTTCACAAATCAATGTGATGTCCATTTGAATTGATAATGGCATAAAACAAGCAACTTTACTATTATCATCTTAGGAACGTATTCAAGTTCATATGTGCAGGGCAATATAATAACAGTACAAACTGCATATATATATTTTTGTTTTGATAGTAAATGTGCAGTGCCTGCATGCATTGGTGCATTAGTCCATGTCCTGAAATGCCTAAGCAAGCAGCTAACTATTTTGTTTAGGGGGGGCCCGGGGGGGGGGGGGAAGTAAACGCAGGAAACCGAAAGCGAGAACATAAAGAAGGCCTTCATGAAGAAGTGTGACAAACATAGAAAAACAAAACTGAGCGTAGAATGTCTGCTCACTCTGGCATACATACTGAATATATCCCTTATTAACACAGTCTTTGTGCTCCCTGTAATAAATGGCTCGAGGCTCCAGCTACTTAGGGCTAAATATACCTTAAACACACTCAGATGGAAGCTGGGGTTGGTTGGGAGTCAAAGACTGACCTAGTGTAGTAATGATCCCCTTCTCCTGCTGCTCCCATTATACCAAAATAGCGTATTAAATACTTGGCAAAGTCGGTGGCTTTTACCACAGCCTATTAGGGTCATTGTGGGTGAACATAAATGTAAAGGAGATGAGGTAATGGGGAGCATTCAGAGAAAAAACTACAACTGTGATATTTGATCAATTAAAGTGGTATATTCAGTGGAAGAATACTTACATCTTCACAAGTTTAAAACCTTCCTGAGATTATAAAGTCATACATTTGCGTAAAAGATCATCAGAACTGTGGCACAAAGGCACACATCTATGTGTTTTATGCTTGGATGATAAAATTATACTTTGCAATTATATATAGCAATGAGGAAATTATTGTTATTTCAGCCCAGAATCAACACATCTTGTTAGCATTTGGAATATGAAGAGACATTGTCGTGATTTGAGCATATCCAGAAGATAATAATTTACTGATCTGGAAAGTTGATAGCTTTTGTTCATCAGGAACGCAATGGACAAATGTAAGATTAACGCCATGTTTCATACTGTTGCACCTCCTCTCTGACATGTTAGTGTTGCATTCCCTAGTTACTTACACCGTCTGTAATGGGGTTCCCACAACCTAAAACATGGTTGTCATCACATCACTGCAAACTCATTTTTTTGCTACGATTTGTGACTTTAAACTAAGAAATGTGGTTTGTATCCTCTAAATAGAACCCCCTTCCGACCTGGCCCCTCTACTATATATGTATGGCTGCTATATGGATTGTTTATGGACTGCAGCACTGAATGACTTTCACATCTCCCTCTGTTTTAACCGCGATCCTAGGGAAATTGAGCACTGACCTTCTACGTTTCCCCCCCGTCTGTCTCTGTGTGTCTGTGGCTGACCTTCAGGTGGTGTTGAAGAATGCTCACATGGCAGTGGGTTCGCTCACTATTAACGAGGAGAGGTCACAGGTCATCGACTTCTCTGTGCCTTTCATTGAGACGGGCATCAGTGTCATGGTCTCCCGTAGCAACGGCACCGTGTCCCCCTCCGCCTTTCTCGGTGAGGAAAAAACACACCTGGTACTTTTGGCAGATGAACCACACAATTGAGAGAACAATTACACACACACACTCATATTGAATAATAAATGCTTACTCACAGACCAATAACAAGCGGGTTGTTCACAAATAAGGACACTGTTTAATTGTGTTTTTCAGCAGCACAAAACAACAAGTTTGGTCATGTGGTGATATAATATGCGGTTGAAAAGTTTATATTTTTCTGTGAATATCACCAAAAACATGATCTGTACAAACTGTGCATCAACATTATGTTGTGAAAGTGCTGTGGCCGAGATTTAAATGTCATTCTTAATCTTTAGAAAGTGTAGTTCATTAATGAATCCCGCCCCAGGGTCCATTTAGTGGTTATTATGGAACATCCAATCTGACAACAGTACAGTATAGAGAGAGGTAATTGTTAATAAAGTAAAAGAGAACATTGTTGTTAGCTATTTTTTAAGACTTATCTAAAAAATGTTCTCTTCTGTGTTAAATTAATTCAGAGAAAGTAATGTAACCTCAATGTCATGTTTCTCTTTTGGCTAGAAATCAGCACTAATCTGCTGCTTTTAGTCCTATTAAGAACAAAGGCCTCTAGTGGGCCGAAATGGGTATTACAACAACAGAAATGTTTCCTACAAATAACCTTACAACACATTTTGTATCACAGAGAAACTTATTTTTCACATGTTTTAAAAGACATACAGACAGAAGAGAAAACAATATTGATCCAATTTGGAAATGTTTTTCTAAATTGCGTCTCAGGGCTTCCGTAATAAATAGTAGGAAAAGTGGGCTTTGATACAATTAACTTTAATTGTCGATAAACACTGCTGATGAAGCTGATACAGTAGAAAGCTCCAGAGCAGCCACTAAATGGAGCTTGTAATGAGATGTTTTGCTAACTAGACTGCTACGGTATTTGTCCAAGACTGCCATGTTTGTGAACATTGCAAAGCAGAGTGCAAGTGGTGGAAAATGTGCCCATTTCAATGAGTACATGTGTCCATTCACACCAATCCTCTCAGTTGCTCTGTTGATAAGTGCTTGTTAGTGTTCACACAAACGCAGACAAAATCCATCAATCTGAACAATGAGCCACGCGGTACATAACGTCTGAATACAAATAATCATGTTGACACCAGGGGGGGATTTTGTAATATTCTTTAATTTGGTTTAATGAACTTCCTCTCTCTGTCTTCCCACAACCCTCCCCACCTCCCCTTTTCTACTTCCTCTGCACCCTGTCCTCCCCCTGTCTCCCCTCTCCCTCTCTGTGTTTCAGAGCCCTTCAGTGCTGATGTCTGGGTGATGATGTTTGTGATGTTGCTGTTGGTGTCGGCCGTGGCTGTGTTTGTGTTTGAATACTTCAGCCCAGTGGGTTACAATCGCTGCCTGGCAGATGGGCGAGGTGAGAGGATCGCACACACACACACACACACACACACACACACACACACACACACACACACACACACACACACACACACACACACACACACACACACACACACACACACACACACACACACACACACACACACACACACACACACACACACACACACACACACACACTGATGCAAACACACACATATACAAACACAATATCAAACCAGAGGCCTGTACTACGAAGCTGGATTTTCGCTTAGCCGGCTAAATTCAGGGAAATCTCGGGCTTTCCGGTCCTACGACGCTGGTTCTCTTTTTAGCAGGCTAGATTTCCATGGTAACTTATGCTGAGCGGCAAACCTGCTCCGGAGCAGGTTAGGTGGCAGGCTAAGAGATCAACTCAGTGAAAGCACCGCCTGCTGACCAATCAGAGCTCCGTGTGCGGAGTTTAAAGCGATCAATTCATATGACAGGAGGAGAAAGGAAATACAGTTTAAACTGCCGTTGCAGGAAAGACGACCGGCCAAAATCAACTGACTGTGTGAACGTGAAAATTAATAGAATATCCCCTCCCATCTTCAGAGCAATCTGACTATTATAACATTAGCGTTAAGAAAGCTTACTTAAATATCTGCCACGACATAAGTAACCGGATCAGAGTAACATTAAGTACAGTCCGCGGCACTGTGAGTGCAGACGTAGATGTGTCCCATTATCATTCATATCATATCACATCATAATGTATCATATATTTCCTTATTTGAGTCAGCTTCTTGAGCCGTATCTGGCCGTGCAACACTCACAGTGTCACATACTGTATGCAGAAGTATTATTTTAAGCAACACATTCAATTGACGAAACACTCGAGTCAAATTCTCCTAATTAAAGTCAGATCCACTCGTGTCTTGGACGGGGCAGTGATTTCATAAACCTGTTAATGTACGCATTCAAACACTTTTTCTTTTACCAGCTGTATTCACCTTGCAGGTGCAGCTATGTGGCTTTTATCCTGGGTAAAGTGTTTAAGTCATGGATGTTTAAAGTTTAACTTCCTCATATTTGACTAATATTAAAGTTCACTTTTCATTCAGGAAGTATGACGCTGCGCTGTCAGTACGCTTCTCCGTGTTTGAGATTGGTCGAATGCTCCAAATACCACCCCTTTCATGTGAACGCGCACCTAACTAGATAGGACACGGCGGCTTGAGCGATCCACTTGATATCCAGCGTCGTAGTACAGTTTAGCGCCAGCGCGTATGTTTTGGATTACGCCAACCGGCTAACTCCAACATATCCAGGTTAAGTTGAACCAGCTTCGTAGTACAGGCCTCAGGTCAATGGATGCTCCAAAAAGATGACATTGAAGTTCATTTACCGGGCGATCTCTTCATCCACAAGGTTACAATCTGCATTCAATCTGCTAACAAATGACTCTGCCGCAGTCACAGGTATTTATCTGAATGACACCTGGGTCATCAAGATCATTTTCACACCTTTTCCTGAACAATGCTATGTGACGCATGTTGACGTGAATATAGAATAAATGCAAATCGTTTGGACATTTATTATAATTAAAGCATATCATTTATATTCCCTTTGCGTAGCCACAAGACTACAGTCACACTGTTATGGTAATAGATGATAGTAATATTATTCACAGATGAACACACTTCATTTAAACTCAACAGAAACCATTTGAAAACGTATCAACCTGACTTGGTTCGTCTTCCAATGCTTCATCCATAACCAACTCTGTCTCAGAGTTTGACAGAGGGACTGAATAGGTAACAGATAACAAACAGAAGTAACCAATCACAGGCGGCTTTGGCTCAGTGGATAGAGTGCTGGACTTTGAATCAGGGGATAGCAAGTTCGAGTCCCACTACAGTCAGCATGTCGCTGTGTCCCTGGGCAAGACACTTCACCCCAAATTGCTCCTGTGGGGATTGTCCACAGTACTGAATGTATGTTAGTCGCTTTGGATAAAAGCGTCTAACAAATGACATGTAATAATATCTGCTTTCCATTGTATACCAATCGTGCATGCTTGATGCCCAACATGACACACTGGAAAAAGAGAAAAACATTCTTCTCCTGGCAATGGGAAATGGGTCTATCACCTTTTCAAACTGAGCTAAATTAGGTGGAAAAGAGTATAACTCTGCCTGTTTTGTTACCTTGAAAGCACCTTTTTGTGCAAAATGACTCTGAAAATCCCTTCTGAATGAGTGTAGCTGGGTCTGGGAGTACTTATCTCCATCTACAGTCACTTAAGCCCTTTCACTAATGAAAAGGCTCATTGACAAGAGCCAGTAGATGGATGATCTTAAGTGTTCTTACCCTCACCGTGAGAACAAAGACTGCTCTGTTCCAACCTCTTTTTTTCTAGTGCCATTCTCAAATACTACACAACGTCGTTAGACCGCCACACTCAGGGTTGTTAAACCTCAGGGTTGTTAAACCGATGAGTACACTTAAGTAGATCTATTACCATACATAGAAAAATATGTGTCAGGTTCAATGGTGTCTGACAGTATGGAGCGACGCTACCCTGTTGAATTCAGCTCCAGCAGGCCGTTCAAATCAATTTACCCATCAAAATCAATGGTTCAGATTCAATCTATTTTGTATACACCTAGCTCTGTTTGACTCAGGATTGCATTATCCTGAAACAGCCGCTCAGGATCAAACCAGAGATGTGTTATATTGCTGCTCTCGGTCTTTTTATCAAGCAGCAGAGAGGGGGAGAGTAATGGTGTTTTGTTGGGAGTTATGTTAGTGTTTTCTGAATGACAGTGTATGCTGTGTGTGGTTTAATCGCTGGGTTATGTAAAGCCTGCTCCAGCTGTAGCATAATTGCAGCCTGCTGTTTGCTCATCATCGACGCCCCCCCCCCCCCTTCTCTCTTCCTCCCTGTGTCCGCCACCTCAGAGCTACAGTAGGTAGTGTTTCCTGTCATGCCGCCGCAGAGGTAGGTGGAACAGAGGTAGTCTGTAACAGTGGGTTGTCACAGCAGCGTCTGGAGGAGCGGGCGTGGACCGTACAGCACATCCTGCGATCGCTGACAAAACTGAAGGATGGGAAGAAATCCTGTCTTTGTCGGCGCCATCCATCAAGTGCCTCCCACCACGGCGCTCATGAGTAAATGCAGATAAAATGAAGCAGCACCTGGGATCTGTGAGACTGATTTCTTTCACTCTCTTCCCTCTTTCATCTTTCTTTGCACCCCTCCTCTTTTATTTCTGTCCCAGAGCCCGGCGGTCCCTCCTTCACCATCGGAAAGGCCATCTGGTTGCTATGGGGTCTGGTTTTCAACAACTCCGTCCCCGTGCAGAACCCCAAAGGTACCACCAGTAAGATCATGGTGTCAGTGTGGGCCTTCTTCGCTGTCATCTTCCTGGCCTCCTACACTGCCAACCTGGCCGCCTTCATGATCCAAGAGGAGTATGTGGACCAGGTGTCGGGCCTGTCAGATAAAAAGGTGTGAATTGAAGGAATGTGAGGGGCTGAGGGGCGGAGGAGCAGGTGTGTGAAGTGTGTAATGTGGGGTGATGTGAGCGTGGATGGCTTTTAGTTTTCTAAAGCATTCTAAGTAAGTAAATATATAATTGGGTTTACAATTTAGGGCTGCCATAGAGATGATTTCTCCTTTTTCTATAATGTATTTCAGTTAACCTTCATTTAAACAGAGTGTGAGTCATCATTTTATTGAAAAAACTAAAAGTATTTATATAAATTGAGATGAATCGTCTATTTCAGGGGTTCCCCATTATTATATGAGCGTCCTATAATTAACACCACCCATGAAGTTTCAAATGTGATCATTTAAATGTATCTAAAGCAAATCTAACACTCTTAGTAACATATAAGTTATAACAATTTACAATTCTTTTAATTATTGATTAATCCGCGGATGATTGCTTAACTCTTACTACATGATGCACTCATTCTATCAGTGAAGCTACCTGTTGCCTCAATATATTCATCAATTTCGATTTATTTTCACGTAGAAATGTCAAAAAGTACTTACAGTGAGGACCTGCTTCTCTTCTTTTATATCTTACTTTTTTTTGTCTTATATTATGTTAAACTAAATTAGTTTTGGACACTTTTTCACTTTACAGCCCAAACGATTAGTCGATAAATTCAATGTATCAATCAGAAATGAAAGTAATCATCAGTTGCAGCTCTCAAATAATCTTTTCTCACTTGTATGACCTGAATGGTGGTGATTATTTTTGAACTTGATCTGTTGTACTGTACATGTTTGTCTAAATGTGTCTTGAGTCTCCCAGGTGTGTGGGTCTACTTAGCACTGTGATGCTGCTCAACGGTGCATTAACGGCTGTTTGATGCGGCTCAGCGCCTTTTTCAACGCTAACGAGGTGTCCTCTCTCATTTTCTCTGTGTGGTTTCGTTTCCGGAAAAACCCCCTGCCACAGTTCCAGAATCCAAACGAATTCTCACCGCCGTTCCGGTTCGGCACGGTGCCCAACGGGAGCACAGAGCGCAACATCCGCAACAACTACCGGGACATGCACACTTACATGACCAGCTTCCACCAGAAGAACGTAGACGAAGCGCTGTACAGTCTGAAGAGCGGGTGAGGAGGAGAGAGATAGAGGGGGAGGACGGAGAGACAGATGGGGGTGGGGGGGGGGGGGGGGGGGGGGGGGGGGGGAGTTGAAAGGATCTCAGCAGGGAGAAGAGAGACAGTGTGATGGAGCTGTGAGGTCCTGTACTGATGCAACACAGAGGAAAGATGATGAAGGAATAAGAGAGGGAGACAGAGGAAGAGGGAGCATTCAGGGCGATGTGGGTGGGCAGCCAGTAGAGCTGTGCATCAGCACCCAGAATAGCAGCGGAGCTTGTGGTTACTATGAAAGCTAGCTCACATTCTCCCTCTCTGCCACTGAAACTCAGGCGGGTATCTTACTGTTTCTCTCTCCCTGTCGTTAAATGTTTTTCGCAAACCAGCTGCTTAAAGATTAGGAATGCAAAGCAGGGATGCACCTCTGAATGACCACAGAGGCCTTCAGAGCTCAGAGGAACAGTTTCATTGAAGTTTGTCACTAAGCTGCAGACTGTCATATCAATTTACCTTTAAAATCAGACGGAGTTGATCTGAAAAGAAAATATAAGAATTCACTGCTGCAGGACTGAGACCTTAAATCAAGAAAAGAGATAGCATTTTTGCAACAATTACCTCGTCCCTAAGCCACTCAGATTTTAGAAGTGTTTTTTTGTTGAAGCCTGAAAAAGGGTCTGTGGTTAACACAAGCTTAAATAATATACACTTTATATATAAACACACAATATAATATTCACCTTTTTGTTTTATGGACTTCTATTTGTCAGTAAATACCCAACTTGTGCATTTTGAATCTTTAATGTGTCCTAAAAAAGGTGGTTGCAAACTGGCAAAGTGGCTTACTGAGTAAATCACTTCTCCGGATTGCATTTATGCTTCAAAAATCAAACTAGTGGTGTGAAAACTTTCTTGCTGAATGAAAGATGTAATTATCATAAACATTTGTTTGCAACAGAGCATTTTTTCAGTTTTATTTGAGGGAATACTACAGGAAACCCAGGAACAGAAGAGAATAGAATAACATGATCAGTCATTGTATCCAGAATCTCTCCCTTTCTTATGTTGACTTTGTGACATATTATTATTCAATATGCTGTATAGTTCCTCATAGTGTCTTTAGCATGCACACCACCTCAATGCAATGTTTTGCTTATTAGCCCTTAATTATTCATGGTCTCATACATTTCTTATAATTTCGTTGTAAGTTTCCTTGAAATGATTATGCAATTTGTAATTAATTATTGCTGAAACAGAGAAAGTTCAATTGTTATACTTTCAATTAATTAATTCCAATTAAATGCTAAGCCAGCGTTTCCTCGAGTGTTTGACTCGATGCACAGCAGGTCGTCTGAACGTGCAGAAATGTGCACAGGCAAGCATTCAATTCAAATTAATGGAGAGCACTCCAAAAATAATGAATGACGAATTAATTAATTTAATTTCAAGTGATGTAATAACCTTACTTTTTAAGCTCATTGGTTTTAACAGTATGCTATTATCCCTGGTGTTTATTTAATTCTGTTCTATTGGCTTTTATTTTAAAAAATATTTTTAACATTTTATTGTTGTATTTTGCCCTTTAAAGCCATGCAAAATGTTATTTATTCATTTCACTTTTTGTTCCTCTCTGTAAGGCTCTTTGGGTTGCATGTTGGTAGGAAAGGGGCTCTATAAATAAATGATTTGAGTTGAGTTGAATATTTTTGGGGGGTAAACATGGAGAGGATCATGCATGGAAATGAATCCTATAACTCTTTTTAAACCAAACAAACTTAGCTGATACAACTGTCTGAATTAGATTCATAATAAGTACCATGAGACTTTCAAGAAAAATCTTCAGAAGTTTCAAAGTAAATAACAAACCCATAGAATGTTGGTGTGAAGAGTTATACATTGTGTTAATAGATGTTTAGTTTAATCAATGCTAATTTAATGTGAATAGTGATGAGGAAGTGAGGGATTTCAGACTCATTCACAAGTCCAAAATGGACACAGACTTTAAAAGTGTCTTCTAACAGCTATTCCTTTCATGGCGCTCTGTAGCAAACTGGATGCCTTCATCTACGACGCTGCGGTGCTGAACTACATGGCGGGCCGAGACGAAGGCTGTAAGCTGGTCACCATCGGCAGCGGCAAGGTGTTTGCCTCCACCGGCTACGGCATCGCCATCCAGAAAGACTCCGGCTGGAAACGAGCCGTGGATCTGGCCATCCTCATGCTGTTTGGAGACGGTGAGGAACTTTTTATTTTATTTGAAATAAGAGGCCTCATAAAGGTCATCATTTTAAAGCAGCTTTTGATGAGAATGGCTCATGTTTCTTTTAATAAAACAGATAATCAGATTAAGCAGAGGTTATAATGTTTGTTTTTGATTTTAGTGGAAGTTGCAAAATTAGTTTCATATTCATATGATTTTGTAAATAATGGATTAAATCTCCAATTCAATCCAATATCCTAGATGTTTAGGTCTGGTATCTCATGGGTGTTGTGTCCTTACATTAACACTAGGATTGTGTCCAAAAATTACAACAAATTTTGTATTTTTGGTAAACTTTTTGTTTTGTTTTTAAGAAAAAATATCAGTGCCTTCATTGGAGGGACAAAGCTGAAAAGAGGACACAGAGTAAGGAACGTTAATGGCCCCGGGTCCTCCCCAGCAGGGACTGAGCCGCCAGCCCAACAGAGTGATCTATAGGGCAGCCCTAGCTGGTATTCTTAATGGTATTTTAGAGTTTACTGGTAAGTTTGCTGTTTGTTGTGGTGAAAACCCAGGAACCACAGGCCTGGGAAGCTGCCGCTGCTGAAGTGAAAGCTGGAATGTAGCAGGTTGTTTATTTGGGAAATCAGGAAGTTCTGGCAGCACACTGCAAAGCCTGTTTTGGCAGGGAGGGGAAATGTTGACCTTGACTCCAGATAAGTAGAAGGAGCTCTGTGGACGATGTTGCAAGTGACATAATTCTTCAGAGAAACTGAACTGGCAAGCTGAGGTTGTGGATTTAGTCATTCAACAGGAAGAACCTTAAATATATTGAGTTTTTTCCAGCTCAGTAAACAGTAAAGCATCTCAACAAGCTTTTCCAAATTGACAAGATTTGAGTTATTTTAAAGCTTTCCGGTATGAACAGCAGGCTCATATTTAAAATCCCTTTTGTCCATAAATCACAGTATCAGCTCATTAAAAGTGAAATCCCTCCATCATTTAGACCAGAGTATTACTGTTAAATGTACTTCCTGATGCTTTGTTAGCCACCTTAGAAGAATCAGACATAAAAGCCGAAAAGCTCAGCCAAAGATTTTGAAATGTGCGTAATAATAATTGAAACCCTTTTACCACTTCCAAAGGCTAATGAATTATAAGAAATAGGCTATTTAGTGTTCACCACGTGTTTTTGTAAAAATTAATACAGTATAACTGTGACAGCAGCTGATAATTTCATCAGTATAGTGACACATGTATGTTTGACTACACAAGCGCCATAACATGTGAATATTAAACACAAGTAGTGAGATTAAATCCACAGTTTGCAGAAAGCAACACACATGATGTGTGCCTTAGTGAGAGCAGGTGAATTACTTTTGGTTGTGTGTTTATTTTGCGACCCAGCTGTTGTTGTGTGTTTTGGTTAGTGACCGAAAGAAGCCGGCAGGGTGTCTGGCCTCAGTCGGAGAGAAAGACGAGTGCAATGATCCACGAGGACCTCAGTATCAGGCTGCTGCTCTCACTATGAGAGGATGGAGCCAGTTGAGGTGGTTTGTGTCTGTTTGTCAGGATGCTCATTTGGCTCCTCTGTTTGAACAGGCTGTGGCCACAAATGACACCGAGGTCGAGGCTGATGCAGGACACACACATTTCTCATCAGTGTGCACTAATAATGTGACAATGGACCCCCGGGCCTCCTCCTGTCGTACAACATCTCATGTCTTAAGAGTGCTGCTGCTGTGTGGGTTACATTTTTAACCATTAAACTGAACTTTAGAGATTAAAGGAGCCTGTTCAAAGACTTCTGAAACTGCTGTTCCACATATTAGAAAAAGTACAGTAGGATCTGAACATTGCAGGTCAATGTTTATCTGTGATAAAGGTTTCAATCTAAAAGCTGGTTATTGAAACATTTGAAATTGTTGTACAGGAAATTCTGTAAGAGAAAAAGGTCCACTTACTTTAAGGGGACCTATCATGCGAAATGCACTTTGTGATGTCTTTTATACATAAATATGTGTCCCCGGTGCGTCGGGGAACTCACGCAGCGTCAGAAAATAAAACCCTCTCTCTTTTCCTCCTTACCCAAATCTTTTAAAAACAGGGGTACAACGAGCGGATACAGATTTCTTGCCGATCTGACGTCAAATCGGCAGCGGACCCACAGAAAATTGCTATCAGAAACAATGCCTGACGTGTTTTGGACGTAATCTCGTCTTTGTTTACATTAGCAAGCCTCGCTAACACTCAGAGCTAACCTGTACTGGAGAGCACATGTGTTTAAAAAGCAGGAAATAAAAAAAGGAACTCACCTTGTGATAAACCCGCAAGAGAAAAAGCATTTGAGCTCCATACTGTTTCAGAAATAATCTTTGATGTGGTTTAGAACAGGATGGCGTTTTATCACAGCAGAATTTAACTTTATCTCCAGTAGAATTCTGATCAGGCATTAGCTCCGCCTCCTCTTTTTTTTTTTTTCAAGCTAAGGACCCAAAATCCTTGTTTCTCTAACAGGGCTGCAAAAGAGGGGTATGAGCAGTATGAGGCATGGCTACAATAGCCGCGTTCACACCGGAGTACTTTTCACCGTACTTTTCACATTTAGTTCCGTTAGTACCCCTTATGTCGCGTTCACACCAAAAAGAGCACTTCATCTCGGGAACTTTTACCCCCATTTTTAGTGCCTGCTGAGAGATGGTACTTTCCTGGGGGAAAAAAGTGCCCCAGTTCTGATTGGCTGGGCGAATTGCAAATTGCAAACTTTTAACTTTTATCCATGTATTTTTTCTTTTAATGTTTATTTTATTATCTTTTCTTTTTAATGACTGATTTTAAATGCCATTTTCATAATGTCTTCCATTTTTGTAAAGCACTTTGAATTGCCTTGTGTTGAAAGGTGCTATATAAATAAACTTGCCTTGCCTTGCCTTGGGGTAATAAGTGCCGGGGCACTGAGTGCCGGCACTAAATACGGCAAAGTACTTGGTGTGAACGCGCCTAATGGGTGAACTGTTTGGTATTTTAAGCAAAAAACTTCAATATATTTTTTCAATATAGCATAATAGGTCCACTATGAACTAGGAATGATTCACCTCAAGTTGACCATTTGTTTATCAATTATTCAACCAGTGCTACCTTTAATTCTTGAAGGAAATTACATTTGTCTTGCACGCCTCCATGATTGTCTGAGATTCAAAAAATGTATTTTAAGTTTTGATGAATTGTCAGGCTGGCTTTCCATCTTTAAGTCTACCAACTGGTTGTCTGCTATTAGTCGATTCATACATTTGTTTTCACCATTTTTATATTTGTTGTTCATTGTAGCTGGCAGTAATGTTTTCCTCAAGACTTTTAGGTAGAACTGTCTGAGTTACAGTAGGTGTTTGTGGATAAAAAAACATATTTTTTTAAGGTTGTAATAAAATATTCCTACTTTCCTCAGGATTTCAAAAAACTGTATTTACTCCATATATGGACACCTTCTATGTGTCTAGATAATAATTGTTTCCATGACAACTAAGCACCTCCATCTGTTTGTGAACGCAGCATGATGTGTTTGAAAGCTTTAGATAAAAACAAAAAAGTGACCTTGAAAGGACAATTGTCTGTCAAACTTTTATAATATTGATTCTTTTAATTATGTTTTTTACTATACTGTAGGTTTACCAAAGTACCAATGTAGCAAAAGATATGTTTAAAAAAGAAATGTCACAAAAAAAGCTCAGGCTTAGGGGCCATTTTTCATATTTTCTTAAATTTGCAATAAATTAGTAAATGTATCAGAATAGAAGAAGAATAACTGAAGGGATTTGGTTAGAAAAACGATGTCTCTGCTCCTCTGCTTGTCCTATGTCCAAAAGGACCCTGGTGCTAGAGAGTGAGAGAAGATGGTGAATCTTTTTTTGCGCATATTTCTTGTTATCTGACAAGTAAGATAACACAAACACAAAGGCATCAAATATCCTATTGTATTACAGTATTTCTCGTACTTCCTACCTGCTGGAAAGGGCTAAAGTTTTGTGGGAAACAGCGAAGTGCGATAAAAGATTTGAGTATGCATCACCAGCTATTTTTTATTTTGTGTTTCAGGAGTTTCAGCTTCATGTTAAATAAATGATTGTTCCTGATATAAATCATTGCCTTTGGAGAGTACACCTACAGTAGCACTCCACCTCCAGAGACAGTATGTGCTGCATACTGCTCACCACCTGCCAGAACATATATTTTACAGCAGGTTGACACACACACATACACACACACTCACTCACACATGGTCGACTTTGATGTGTTATCACTTTCCATCACAGTGTGTGTGATGGATGAAGGGGTCAGTGCAGCGAGAACATTCACCTCAGATCAGATCTTTATGAGCCAAATCGACTCAAACCTCGACATACGCTGCTGAGTGATGTACCCTGAAGTACCAGTGTGTGTGTGTGTGTGTGTGTGTGTGTGTGTGTGTGTGTGTGTGTGTTGTGTGTGTGTGTGTGTGTGTGTGTGTGTGTGTGTGTGTGTGTGTGTGTGTGTGTGTGTGTCTGTTTGTGTGTGGGTGTGTGTTTGGAGTTGTGCATGCTTGGCTGTATGTTCACCAAACATCAGGCATCATGTCTGCACTAATGTTCCCTAATCGAAGTCCATAATGTCAGACATTACTTCTTACCTCATGCAGTCCGACTCAGCTGTCGGCACTCAGATGTTGGTCCAGGTTAAGAGTTCAGACTCATTGATGTTTGCTCATATCTGACGTGTCCTGTTAGAGTCCAGATATGAACATGATGAAAATCATATGTGCAGAGGAAGAAGATCTACTATCAGGAGAAAATGAGGGCCCCTTTATCTGAACAAAAACATGACCAGGAAGGAAGTGGAAGAAAAAGGTTGAAGATGGAGAAGTAGGAAGAAGGAATGGAACATGTATCCTGCCTTTAAGTCATTGTCATAACATCTGCAGACTGAAGAAGGATCAATAGTGTAAGAGGTCAATGGGAACCAATTGTTTCCAACCCTAATCTGAAGATGATAGGGTCGCCCCCAAGAAGCATTAAGACTTTTGTGTTTGAAATGTCCATGGTTTTTTAACCACTTTATTGCTACTTATTAAGAAGACATCAAATATCGAATAGGCATATTTTCATAACAAGCATTTTGACTTTTCATAGCAGAACACTATAACATTTTCCTATTAGAGATCTCGATTGACATTTTATGAATCCTATTAGATGAGGAAATGAATTACACTGTCATGTCCATGCATTAAGTATGGAGCTAGAGGCAATTAGCTTAGCTAGCTTAGCAAAATGAAAGCAGGGGAAACAGCACCCTGGCTCTACTCACGGTTCAGAAATACACAACACCTACTGAGATTATTGCTAAGCATGTTTTATGCCATTTGTTTAATCGATATGCAGAAAGAAATATAGAAATGTACACTATCTGTGCTTCCAGATTTGATATGATTTTACATATTATTTTTGGTTGTATTATTGCACATGATTTTTTTGCTACACCTCTGCGGTGGCCGAGATCTGCAGACTTTTGGATATTGGTTTGTACCGCTCCAGTTATCACCTTTTGTGAATCAAAACCTTGCCCTCTCACTAGCAGCTTGAAAATGTAGGGGCACTGAATTTGGTTTATTTACTGTTTATCAGACCAGAAATGAGAAAAATGTAAGCTAGCTGGAGCATCCTGAGGTCACTCAGCCTAACGTCCCGCCGCTAGGAGACTACTTCCCCTTCACTAGCAAATCTAAAAACAGATTTGGAGATTTCTATCAAACATTTACAAATCTGATTAAAATACAGTATCACAATTCTCCACACACATTTACAGATAGTTGTTCTACAATAATGGCTCTACACTGAGTTTAAAGTAAAAACTAACCGGCAGTTGTCAGAGACTAACACATGCCTCACAGACAAAGTGGTTTTATACAAGAATTGGGAAAATATAAACCCCCTTGATCCCACACAAACGCAACTAAAAACAGACCATCAGTGCAGATCAAACAAATCTCTCTGGACGTGTCCTCCCCCCATAGCAGTCCCCCCGGGGATGTGGAACTGACGGGGAGAAATGTAAGGGCGGAAACGCTCGTCCCATGACCACACACACACTTCCTCCCCAAGGACTGTTAAGTCCCAGCAGGCAGTTGTTTCTTTTCCCACAACAAGTAAGGGATAGCCTTGCAGAAGCAATTCTTAATGAGGATGATCCTCAGGGGGGTGTTCAGTGAAAATAATGCAACATGACATTTGTTGCACGTATATGAGACCTGAGCTGTTTTTGGCATCAACTCCCATCCAAAAGATGTGACCCCTCTTTTTGTTCTCACACTTACATATTCCAACACCCAGAGGCAGACTCATCCGAGTGCACAGGTCAAACCAACATGGGAACACACTCATTGTTACAGTAACTTGCTTATGTGTGTGTCTCCCTCCTTCAGGTGACATGGAGGAGTTTGAGGCTCTGTGGCTGACGGGCATCTGCCACAATGAGAAGAACGAGGTGATGAGCAGCCAGTTGGACGTGGACAACATGGCGGGCGTCTTCTACATGCTCGGGGCCGCCATGATTCTGTCATTACTCACTTTCATCTGTGAACATTGGTTCTACTGGCAGCTGCGTTTCTGCTTCATGGGCGTGTGCACGGGACAGCCCGCGGCCACCTTCACCATTAGCAGAGTGAGTGTGTTTTATTTTGGGTTTGACCTTTGTCCTCCTCACAGAAAGATCACAGCAGTGGTTGTTTTCAAACCACTGGCTGTGGTTGAGGTGTATTGAGTCAGTCAGCAGGATACGATGACTCACCTGACTTAACCTGTGGCTTTGTTAGCCCAGGCAGGCAGTTGTTAAACAACAGAACACAAGTCAACAGCTAACTGTGCTAACGCAACCTGACATTTTACATTTTTTTAAACACACTGCAAGTCAGAGGTGCATCCTATTACAATAACATAATATTATATATACAAATATAAATGTAACCCTATAAGACCCAAACCAAAACTTAGTTTATGTGCCTTTTACAGTTGCATCATTAGTTTAAAATATCGTATTGCACATTTACTTATTAGAATAACCAGGACAATTTAAATACACAGAACAAGTTTGATGTTATTAAAACATTGTAAACTTGTACAGCCCATTCACCTATAAGGGACAGTGAAAAACTAATTTGATGCATAAATAACACATTAATGCGATACAAAACACAAGAAGCAGATACAAAAAGCATCATTGCTCTTAAAGACATCGCCTACTGATATGCTGATTGACAGTGAGACCAACCAGCATTATTATGCAACAATCACTTAGACTCCAGTCTTTGACAGGGTTAAAAAATCGTGCAGTCTTTGGGAAGAGTCCATAATTAATTGACTTAATGTTGCTGAAATAAAAGCTACTTACTATGCTGCTCATTCTCAGCCGGTGACCTGAAGCTGTGTTTGTGGATGTCGAAGATCTCGGCGTGGTTACGACTCTGCTCAGATGGGTCACTAAACAACGCGTCTCAGTGTTATTGATGCAGGCTGCTTAGGTCCATATAAATAATCACTTGAGGTGTAATTCATTTGCATAATGCTACCTTTTAAGAAAGAGAGAGAGGGGTGGCGTGTTTGTTGTCGAATTAAAATTGTCTCAGTTATTGTTTGCCTGAGAAAAGGGCAACCAGGTTTATGTGTTTGGTGTTTGTAATTGTAATGTCATTTGGTTTACACCAACTCAAACTAACCTGAGGCAATTTAAAACACAGATGTGGGCTCGAGTACTTCATAAACACACAATCATTTGTCTGTCTTTGTTGAATTGGACAAATGTCTTTGTGTTTCCTTCAGAAACTCTATTTTTATGCAAATCGAAAGCACTACTTTTTGCGTTGACAGTTTACTCTTACAGTAGCTCTTACTTGCAGGAGGCTGATTTCGCTTGTTGCATTACAACATCCATTTTAAGTGCATACACCTTTCAGAAGGTGCTTCTGCATTTTATAAATTTCCATGCCTGGTTAAACACATGGTGTGGGATTTTAAAATCTTTTTTATCATATACAGTTTATTGAAAGTGTAAGGATGGACATGTGATGAAAGTACAAAGGGCTAATAAAACACAGAGGAAGAAAGAGAGATCAGTTAGCGAGGGTCATGATAAAGACTAAAACGGGTGCCAGGACAAAGGCAGAGTATAGAAAAGAACAGACACAGTTCTGGTACCTTTCCCAGGAGCTGTAGTAGCTATAGATGCAGAGAGATAAAGACAGACAATCCCATTGGAGTGGCTGCCGCTCACCCGAGCACCCGGAAACTGAGATAAAACAGACACAAAGAGAGAATGGAGCCATGAAAGAAAAGAGGGTTGAAGATTCAGATTCATGAATGTGGCTCAGTGACAGGGAAAGTGACTAAGAGACAGACAGAAACCGTTTCTGACAAGTTGACGCCTTTGAGGAGCATTGGACCGCGTGCTGGCTGGTGGGTAGCATGTCCTCGACCTTTCGGATTTGGCTGTCGCATCAACCACAGATTCCCTCAGCCACATTTTAAGCACGCTTGTTTGACTTCACCCGCAAAAGGCTTTCCCCTCTCTCGAAAATCCTACTTACCAATAAACCAAAGAAAACACACATACTAATGGGGAATGACTTTTCAAACGGACGATTGTTAATGCATATGGCTCTTGATATCAGTGGTGGAAGAGGTATTTGGATCCTTTACTTAATTGAAAGTACCAATACAGCAATGTCAAATCACTCCATTACAAGTAAAAGTACATAAGTATTGGCGGCAAAATCTAGGTAAAGTATTAAAAACGAGATGATTGATGGGAGAGGAAAGAAAAATCTTTTCTTTTTGGTGAGATAATCGATCACTTGAAATGAAACCATGTGAGAAGTCAAGAGAGAAAAATCGATATTTGGAAATACATCAACGTACCGAATGTACTTACTGTAGGAAATGACTATTCATAGTTACCTTTCTAGATGGCTTGACATTTATAGGACATTTAACAAAACCTTTACAAAATGATTATTTCCTTGACAGTGTAAAAGGAAAAAGAGTAAAACAATGCTGCGGCAGAGAGCCTGTAGCACCTGTGTCAACTGCATTTAAATGACATTGATTAAAACTATTGATTGGCAGTCAAACGCCCGAGCTTTGATCGGCTCCCTCCCTTCTCTGTGTCTGAGGGTCCACGCTGCTCCCTGGAGAAAAGTCATTTATGAACTCAGCCCCTATTACTGTTTAATAGTGTGTAAACAAGAGGGTGGTCAGGGAGAACATGGCAATGCATTAACCTCTCTCTGCCTCTCGCTCTCTCTGTTTCCCTCTCTCTTGATTTCTCTCTCTCTCCCTCTCAATATGCATCTGCTGTTTGACTCCCTCTCTCTTACTTTTAACCCCCTTTGTTACCTGATTCCTTTCGACACATTTTACTGTAGTTTTCTTCTTTCTTGGGCTTCGTACTTCTTACTTCCTCCCATGGCCTGTCTCACCCTGTCTTTCTCTCTCTGCTTCCCTTTTCTTATAATTTTCCCCCTCCAGGGTATCTGGAGCTGCATCCACGGGGTACAAATTGAGGAAAACAAGTCAACCATTGACTCGCCCTCAGCCACCATGAAGAAGAACATGAACAACACCCACTCCAACATCCTGCGGCTGCTCCGCACGGCTAAGGACATGACTGCCGTCCCGGGCGCTAACGGCTCTCCACACCCGGCGCTGGAGTACAGCCACAGCGCGCGTGAATCGACTATCTATGATATGCAGGAGCACCGGCGCAGCTTGGTAGGTCACCCTGCCGACTGCAAGACAGCGCCTCCCTACCTGCCAGAGGACAACATGTTCAGTGACTACATCAGCGAGGTGGAGAGGACTTTTGGGAACTTGCCCCTGAAGGACAGCAACCTGTACCAGGACCATTACCTGCACCACCACCCGGCCTCGGCTCTGGGTATGTCCGGCCCCGCGCCTAACAGGCCGCGTAGCTTAGGCAGCACTAGCTCGTTGGAAGGTGGCATGTTTGATTGCGACAGTTTAGGGGGAGGGGTAGCGCCCATCTTCACCACCCAGCCCCGCCCATCCATGACTCACAGGAATACCAATAAGTTCGACCTGATTGCCGGCCACGCCCCTGCGGACTCCGACCAGGGTGGGTTCAAGGGGAACAATGTGTACGGGAGGTTTTCTTTCAAAGGAGGCGCATCCAGCACGGGGCTCATCGGGGGTCATGACCGGTACTGTGGTGGGGGTGGGGCAGGCTCAGGGGGGGATGATGGGAACATTCGCTCAGACGTTTCGGATATCTCAACGCACACTGTCACCTACGGCAACCTGGAGGGCAACAACAAGCGGCGTAAGCAGTACAGGGACAGCCTGAAAAAGAGGCCAGCTTCGGCCAAGTGCAGACGGGAGCAGGACGAGATAGAGCTGAGCGGCCTCAGGAGGAGAGCCCACCACCACACCGTCCACCACCACTTCCCCCACGGGCCTCAGGCACACCGCACGGTCTCACCTCCCCTGGAGCGGAAGAGAGGAGGAGGAGGGGGTAATTCTTCACCTTTCGTATTCCGCAAAGAAAAGGAGAACCTGAGGGATTTCTATGCGGACCAGTTCCGCTCCAAGGAGGGCAAGGCCCAGTGGGAGCACGAGGGTGGAAGTGGAGGAAGCGGTGTGGGCGGTGGTAGTGGTGGTGGTATCTGTAAGAGCTTAGTTCCTGTAGAAGACTTCCTCAAAGGTAAAGGCAAGAAGCCGGAGTGTAAAGGTGGGCTCGGCACAGTGTCGGCAGGGCAGCAGGCCCACACCTGCTGGGAGAAGGGGGTCTCTGGGCTAGGAGGGGGGGGCATAGCAGGGGGTGACTGGGAGTGTCGTAATAGCCACAATGTGTGTCACCACGGAGGGGGTGGCGCTTGCCCGGCTAACGGGGTTGGGGGGAGCAGCAGTCGCCCCAGCTCCGCTAGCTGCAAACGCGGCGACTCCTGTAAGGTCCCGCCGGGAAACCTTTACAACATCAGCGAGGACAACAACATGGTGTTCGCTGCAAGGAAGAGTAGCGTGGGACCGGCCCAACCTCAAACTCAGGCGCAGCGCAGGAAGCTAGGGCCAGGGGGGAGGGTGTTACGGAGGCAGCACTCGTATGACACATTTGTGGACCTGCAGAGGGAGGGGACGGGTCGCATGGGAGGGGTTGGCGGAGGCGTTGGGGGGCCTTATGCCCAGCCTCGGAGTGTGAGCTTAAAAGACAAAGATCGCTCCATGGAGGGCCCCAGCCCTTACGCTCACATGTTTGAGAGGTATGCAGGGGAGTCTTCCATGTTCGGAGGAATAGGCGGGGATAGGGCGAAGGGAGGCTCGTCCTTCAGCTTGTTCCGAGAAGGTGGGTTGCATCAGCGGTCGGTGGGGGAGAGAGACCTGAGGGACAGAGATAGAGCTATGTCAGGAGGTGGTGGTGGCAGCAGAGGGGCCGGGACTTACTCCTTGTCTAAATCTCTCTACCCAGATAAGGTGAACCAGAACCCCTTCATCCCAACCTTCGACGACGACCAGTGTCTATTACACGGCGGCAAACCGTACTACATCAAAAAGCCACAGACGCAGCAACAGCAGCAGCAACTTCTCAACAACAGCCGGGGAGGAGGGGACTTCCGCGGCTCCATGGGAACGACTTCCTATTTGCCCGCGTCCGCCACAGCTGGGGTGATGTCCAATGTGGCCCCCAGGTTCCCCAACGATCTGTGTCTGGGCGGGGTAGGGGGGCCCATGGGGAACCACCACGGGGCCAGCAAGCTAATGCCTGTGGCCAGGGACACTTTGGGTTTGGGGCCGGGGCATAGACCCTTCAACGGTGCCAGCAATGGACACGTTTATGAAAAGCTCTCCAGCATTGAGTCAGACGTCTGAGGGTGAGGCAGAAAGAGAGGGAGAAGATGAAGTGGGTGAAGAAAAGAGGGGGAGAAACACACAGATGCTGATGACCTCTCTGTGTGAGGATGAGGAGACACTATACTGTGTGTGTTGTTCTCCGATAAATGGGAATGTAATTTGGACGATGCACAGAGGCCGCTGCAGGCTAAGCTGTGAAGTCCGGCGGGAGACAAGTTTTTAATGAGAAGAGAGGATTCTGGTGCTGCTCCAACGCTCAGAACGGTTGGGAGGGAGGGGGAAAAGTGAAATCAAATCTCCAGTCTCTGCTCTCTTCACGTGCTCATTGTCTTTCCCTCCTTCCTGCAGTTCCTTAACGCCAAAACAAACATTTTGTTTGACAGAAATACAATCATGAATGAGAAATCAGCACTTCTGTTGAAGTAACAGGGTAAACTAATAATAATTGTATTGATAATGTTGATAATATTATTGAATATTATTCCAGTGTTTAATGATGATCGGTTTGGATTGTTTTTTCAATTTTATTGATTTAAATAGTTCATGTTACATATTTGTATGATGTTAATTATTTCTTAGCTTACCAATGTTACAGGGGACTGGTAGACTTTTTTTGGGTTCCTGTAATTTGGACTCTTCTTTGCTATTTATTCTTCATGTTTGATTTTCTTTTTTACTTTTCTTACTCTTGAGTGCTGTGAAGTGTATGTGAAAGGCATGACTTGCTGAGTACATTCTATGTACTTATACATTTGCAAAGAAGGTATTTTTTTCAGCTGCAGAAGCAACATCATCATACTGATTTGCCGTTTCCTCTCCTTTTTTCTGCTCGGCAGTACCAAATGGGTCTCACATTTTGAGCTGGACGTGCCTTAAAGGATAACTACTGATTTTGTACACACAAGGTCTGTTCTGTTGGTAGACAGATCCACCTGCAAACAATTAGTCAAATTGATTTAAGTGTGAAAATACACCTGAAGAAGTCTGATGAGGGTTTCATAAGCATAACAGACTTTTAGGCATTTGACAGATGTAATAAAGCAGAATTTGCCGCCGTAGAGGAAGCTTCAATTCCTGCATTTGTCCCAATCAATAGCAGGATTACAAGGGTTAAAACCACAGTGCCATAATAAACAAAACATTCCTGTTTTCCCCAAAAGTGCATGAGAAAAAATAAGAGTTGAAAATAACGGGGGCTTCTTTTTCTATTATCTCCACCATTCAACTAAGTCCTTGAATTACAAAGAAGTTCAACTAGCTTCATCACTCCTCACCTCCTCAGTTCACAACTGGGACCCAGGATCCGACTGTCCATTAAAAACATGTAAATCACATTTAATATTCTCTTGTTGCTCTCATCACGTCTCACTTGGTCCAACTCAATCGGCCGTGACAGTTTGCTGCTCAGGACAGGCACATAATGGACTCAGAGCGAGGCCTCTGTTGCTGCGATGAGCTGCAGTAATGTTAATTATTTCACGATTACAGCTCTAAGCCCTGCCTGCTGTATTAGATGGTCCCATCTGAATAATGAGGGGGGGAACATGTCCACTCTGCTGGTGTAAAAGACCACAGGAAACTGGTACCTAGTCCCAAATGATCTCTTGATTTATTCTTGCAATTACTCATAAATAAGTAATTCTACCTTTTAAAATGGGGTTTTTTGGTACATGCAACTGTGCTCCCAATGATGCTACTTAATAGTTTTTCCCTGATAATTTGACATTTTGGGGAATGCACTGATTTGTTTGCTTGCCAAGCTTTTAATGAGAAAATCTAAACCAATCTCTTACAATGCAACAGCCAGCAGTCAGTAAGCTTAGCTTAGCATAAGGACTGGAAACAGAGGGAAACAGCTAGCCTAGCTCTGTCCCACAAAACAGCATCCACCAACCATTGCCTTAAAGGTTATTATTTAAGGTCCAGTGTGTAGGTTTTGGTGGCATCTAGCAGATAAAGAGCTTCGGAGAACCAGTGGCCTTCAGGTAATATAAAAAAGGTAAAAAGGCCCTCTCTACAGCCTGAGTTTAGTTTGTCCGTTCGAGCTTTTTTGAAACATGGCAGACGCTGAAACAGCTCAGCTACCTAGATACCAAGGGCTCATTAAAAGGTAACGAAGACACAACTATTCTTAGTTTCAGGTCCTTTTACACTAATTAAACATAGGTATAAACATTATATATTACTTTTCTCTCTGGATATATCTTTTTGCTTTAATCCATACAAAAACTGAAGTGTAACGATGATATGTTGGAGGCTGTGGGACTTTCTCAAAGTTACCGGTAAAGGAATAGTCCACAAAACCACAACTTGTTTGATACTTTTGTTTGAGTTATTTACAGATTAAACATAGGAGATATAAAGAGCTAGTGTATAATTGGGAAGGTGTGATGTGTTCCCCCTGTTTCCAGTCTTTCTAAGAAGCTACGCTAACAGGCCACTGCTCCTGAATTATTATTTAAAAAACTGATATTTGATGAGTGGTATCGATCTCAGCTATCTCAACAAAGAAATACACTGTATTGACTTTTTCTTACATTTCGAAAAGATAACCTGGATAATATAAGACTTTCATCATATTATAAGTCTTTCATCATATTATCCCTTTCATCATTTTGCCCAGCGTGTAGCTGAAACTCACATTCAACAGAACATAAAGAATAATTTCACAATGTTCTGTAACACTGATTTCCCCCCCCCCCCCCCCCGCTGGACCATAATCTGTTTCACATGCTGAGATTTTAATGAAGGAAATAATTTGCCCTCAAGTCCTCTGGGATCCTGTGTGAATTGTGTCAGATGCAGACGTGAGGAGAAAAAAAGAAAGAGGAAGTCAGCAGAAAGTGAAGCAGGTGGCACATTTAGTAAAAAGCATCACCTTTCTAACTGATGTTGTTTCATGATCAAATGGCGGCTCCCAAATTCACAACATCAGACACAAAAGTCATCTCTGCTTTGAAACTGACAAATAGTAAGATTTGGTTTAAGCCTTTCACCACCATTAAATATTATCAATCACAATTGTAAACTTCTATTCCCCACTCCCAGTTATTTATTGTCAGATAAACCAGACATTTAGTCACTCTGCCAAACCAAATTTAGAAACCTAAGCACAATCTGACTGGATTTATTTAGTTTGTTGAACATCCCAGTCTAAACTTTAGAAGACTTTCCTTCTCTAGGTTGACAAGTCAGTATGTATGATACTAGGGGGTCTCTAGTGTTTGTGAGGACTTGCATGTATACACTCTTCTTTATTTCAGTTTTTTAATCTTAACTTTTAGCCCAGAAAAATGGGTGTTTTTGAACAATATTTGGAATTTTTATCAATTTAATTGGTACTGATGATCCATGTAGTACTGTAGGTGTGTGTGTGTGCGTGTGTGTTTGTGCAAGATAGGACACCAATCTCAACAGTCAAAGTTTTTAGTTATACTTTAATACAAATTGCTAAATTAAGTCAAGATTACACTAGAAAATATATTTATAAATCTTCTACAAGGATCAATTTTCTTGCTAGTTGGTGTAAATGCTTTTAACAAGGTTGAGGTCTTGATTAATTCATCGTCACTGAAGAAGCCTTTTCATCATTTCAACTACTTTCCTGGTATTTTCCTTTGAATATCATAATTTCCGTTGTTGTATGTGCCTGAATACATACGCTTAATTACCTCTGTGTGTGCTCATATGGGAGAGAGACAGAGTGTGTGTGAGAGATAACTGTTAATTGTACATGTATTATGAAACTGTATGTAAATACTTTACCTCACGCTCATGGACTTTTGATAAAAACTGTACAAAAATGGCAATGAATAGATCTATTTGGGATAAATCTTTGATTCGTTGGTCCCCACGCAAAACTGCTTTTGTAATGACTTCAGGCCAGGATACGTGCAATCGTTTATTGTGCACATTTAATGCGTCATGGTTTGTTAATGTGATTTTATTTCTGATTTGGTTTGGTCAAAGACCAGCTAAGAAGGTTGTTTTCTCAACGCACCATTACTAAGTGTCCCACAGAAAGCACAATCGAAAATGTATCGCATTTTTACTGAGGTGTTCTTTTTTCTTTCCTCTTTGGCTAATCTTCTGTTTTTGTGTTTCTGTGCCACAGAAGAATCGAACAACTCCACCCCTGAACTGTACAGATTGTGAAAAATGTACATAGGACAAAAATCTAGTTCGAACTCGCATTTTTTGTATGGAGAGAAATTACTTGTGTGAAGAGAGTATTTCAAATTTGATTGAATATTTAGTAATATTGAAAATGAGATTAAACGCAGTCAATGTGAAAATAAGTGCTGAGAAATATTATTCTTCTGTCTCTTTGGAATAAAAGTGTTGAGTATTAATAAAAAATAAGAAATCTCAAACTGATTTGTCTTGTTTTTATCATTTGTTGCGTCAACAGGAGGGTTTGTCACGATATACCGGTATTGACTGTGACATTTTTTTAAAATGATATCAACCCACCTCTTAGATAAATGTATATATACTTATCTCTCCATCTCCCTAAAACATGACCCACAAAAAACACATTTATTGTAATTGTATTGACCGATACCACTATTATGTCTTCCGAATTATGTATTGCAATAATCTATGTTCAATTCCCTTTTCCCTTAATTAGAATTCACTGAAATTGTGATAGTCCACAGGTTGGCAGCAAGCAACAGTTATATCTTTCATGTGTGTCTTATATTTGACATTTAAATGTACTGTTTACATGTTCTTATTATGTCCCATGCTGTAGGTCGACAGAGGAGATAATGGCTGCAGCTGAGTGTCGTTCTCATGTTGGATAAGTGCTTTGTAGACCAAAGAGAAAATAAATGAAGAGGCCTGAGAATAAAAAGGTGGAGCGAGAGTTAGAAGAAGAAAGAGAGAGATATTGAGGGAGGAAGAAGTGATGCAAACTGAAACAGCAGCAGAGATCAAAGCCCCCCAAAAAAACTCCCTCCTCAGACTCTCTTTACTCTGAAAGCCTTGTCCAGCAACAGGAGTTATTTAAAGAAAGCTGCAGGATTCAAAATGTACTGATGCCTTGTGTGTTTATAGAATTGGTGGGAGAGTTTTAACATCTGCGGTCCGGGAGGCTGAATCAAAATGAGGTGAGGCGGTAGGAAATATCCTTTAATCAGTTTGTAATCTCCTGCTTCTTAAAAAAGAAAAATCTTTACTATTTTCTCCATATTCCTGCTTTACTCCTTACACCGCCCCAACAACCTCAGCGTGCATTGCAACACATGTAACTACTTCTTGACAATTAACTGTTACCTAGCAACTGGCTCTTTTTCCAGAGATGGGCAGGGTGTAGAAAGAGAGACAGCGAGAGAGATTTATACAGTATTCCCACAGCATCTTAACTGGATTGGATGCAACAATGCATCGACAAAACAATACCAAAATGGAAAGTACAGCCTGAGCTTATAACGCCCACACACAGTAGCATAGAGAGGAGAGAAGTAGAGGCGGAGGGACGGGAGGGGGATAGATGTACAGATTACAGTTTGGTAGGGGTAGATGAAACCCATGTAGAGGAACAGACCGACAGCAAATGTGCAACAGATGCAAGTTAAAAACGTGAGAAACATGCTGCAGTCTGTGGTGGAGAAGACAAGAGGAGTTGTAGAAGAGGAGGAAAGAAACTGGTTGCTGTAGAAACACTCTGCAAAGTTTTAATGAAGGCATAAAGTTTGATGCCTGTGCCCACAACACACACACACAAGATCACCATACACAAACAAACAGTATAATTATGTTAGCAGATAATAGGCACCCCCTGCTGGGCCCATGAGGACCGCTCCTGACTTCAGCTGAGAGAAAAAACAAAAGATCAAGCCTCCGAGAATCAGCTGTAATTCCATGTTACGGCAGCAGGAGAGCACTGACATCCTGTGGCAACAACATGGCATCCTCTGGTTCCAGCATGTTGATGAGGACACGGTGCACCGGTACATTGCATTTATAAGTGCAGTTCAAGGCAGAGATAAAGTAAGCTCAGGGGTGAGAGATGCAACTGGAAAATATTGTGTAAACTCAAGGATAGACACTCACAGGCAAAAACGTTTTTCTTTCATGCACTGATCAATTTAAAGTGTTTGGGCTATTTTGCTCTTCTTTCAGAGAAAGAAGACACCCAAAAAAAAAGACATTTTTAAATGTGTATTTTTCTAACTTTTTCTATTTATTCCTGTAAACTTCTCCTACATTCAACAATTACTTGCTTCATTTGCACATTTATAAATAACATTTCTGAAAAAACTTGAAATGCCCCAAAAAACGTGTCTTAATGTAAGTCATTAACTGTTTTTTTATATTCAGTTTCCCTTTTAGTCAAAGCAAAGTGGTGAGAGATGCTTCTGGAAAGTCTTATTCAAAGTTAGGGTTTAGGACTACAACAAGTCCTGTCAGTCTGTCACTGTAGCTTAAGAGTATGATGCATTAGGCCAGTGGTTCTCAAAGTGGGGGGCGCGCCCCCCCCTGGGGGGCGCAGAGGCATGCCAGGGGGGGGCGCGAGAGACCAGAAGGAAAAATGGTTATTAAAAAGAAAAAAAAAAAAAAATCATAATTTGAAAGATTATTGATTCGAAAATAATATGATACAGTACAGTACTATTACGTCTGGGTCTCTGTGTTTCATTAAAGCTCTGTGTGTGTGTGGAACGAGCCATTTTGTTTGCGCGAGCGAGAGAGAGAGACAGAGAGCGCACCGGTACCTGAGATCGTTGTTGTTAGCTTCTGGTGCTAGCAAGCTACGCTAACGGATATAAGGAGTTTTTTCAACAACAATGTGGAGGAGAGTCCTCTCCTGTCAGACTGAGAGACTCAGTGAGCTAAAGGACTCTCTCAGTGTTATCTCAGTGGGTCTCAAATGTTTTGGTCACCATTAATGTAAACAATTATTTCCGAGGCACACGTTTATATGATCATTATAGTTATAAAAAAATAAGAGAATAAATGAAAAACAGGTATGAAATACTATATGACAGTAAAACAAGAATGCAGTTTAAAAGGGTGATTTGTAAAATATCCTTAAAGAAAAAGTAAATCTGCTTACAGTTCTGTTTCATATGGGTGTTGAGAGGTATCCATAGATCTCCATTTTGCTCTCAAATTGCACCAGATTGATGCATTTAACTTCAATATTTAAAAATAAATCTTCCCGGGGGAGCTTGCCCCCGGACTCCCCTATGTGAGGTCCACACACCACCTGTAGAAATAGCACTTTACCCCTGCTTACACCTATATGCCGTGAGCTGATTATCGAGCCTTCATTGTAATGCTGCGTTCACACCGGACCCGATGCGATGTTTGGGGGCGGCGCGATTACATGTAAAGTCAATGCAGAGATGCGGACAGACGCGAATTCGCTCCGACGGTGCGCATGAAGCGGTGGACGCGGCGCGAATCACGCGATTGAGGCGATTGAAGGGGGCCGCGTCAAACGCGAGAGTTCAATTTTTTCAACTCGAGCGTCAAATTCACGTGACGTGTTCTCGCGGAAGCCAATCAGCGGTGAGGATCTCAGCCTGCCGTCACTGACGTTCAACCACACAACATCAGCCGTTAGCTGTTAGCAGTTAGCACTCAGAGCTCACAGCTCCTCATATCTGTTCAGAAACTAGACAAAAGTTAAACAAGTACAAACCACAGACTGTCTGTGTCATGGCGAATACAGTCGCTGCTTTATTTATGTCTGTAGGCCGTTGTTATGTGTGTGGAATGAGCATATACAACGTTAGTTTAGCCTGGTCGACCCGATCTTCATTCAGAAAACAAGCATTTTAAAAGGTTTTTCGCCTGCCGTCTTGTCTGTAGACTTGTCAAAGCATTAATTCATGGTTTTTACTAACCGGTATCAGCAGGGGCGTTGCCTGGACCTGAAAACATTCGGGGCTTAGCCCACAGTGGCGGCGGCACTACAGTGGCATTTTTTTACTGCAACACTCCCCACACGCGGGTCGATAATCAGCTCACGGCATATAGGCAGGGGTAAAGTGGTATTTTTTATGAGTGGGGGGCTCACCTCCTCTAGGGGGGTCCGGGGGGATGCTCCCCGGGAAGATTTTTTTTTAAATGTTGAAGTTAAAAGCATCAATCTGGTGCACTTTGAGAGCAAAATGAAGAGATCTATGGATACCTCTCTCAACACCCATATGAAGCAGAACTGTAAACAGATGTACTTTTTCTTTATGGATATTTTACTAATCACTCCCCTTTTAAACTCTATTCTTGTTTTACTGCCATATAGTATTTCATAACTGTTTTTCATTTATTCTCTTATTTTTTGTGTAACTATAATGATCATATGAAGGTGTGCCGCGGAAATAATCTTTTGAATAATTTGTGACCAAACCGTTTGAGACCCACTGAGATAACTTAGACTAAAGGTAAGTATCTAAACACTCAGAGAGTCCTTTACAGTAGCTCACCTGAGTCTCTCAGTCTGAGAGGAGAGGACTCTCCTCCAGCTTGTTGTGGAACAAACAGCTCCTTATGTCCGCAGCTTGCTAACCAGATGCTAACAACACGGTCCCTGCTGGCGTCGGTCTGTCTCTGTCTCTGTGTCTCTCTGTGTCTCTCTCTGTGTCTCTCTGTGTGTGTGTGTGTGTGTGTGTGTGTGTGTGTGTGTGTGTGTGTGTGTGTGTGTGTGTGTGTGTGTCTCTCTCTCTCTCTCTCTCTCTCTCTCTCTCTCTCTCTCTCTCTCTCTCTCTCTCTCTCTCTCTCTCTCTCGCTCTCGCTCTCTCGCTCTCTCTCTCTCTCACACTAAATGCGCCACACACACACAGAGCCGAGCTTGAATGACACAAGCACACGTTTATTTCCATGCAACTCTCTGATTGGTCTGGTGTCATGCCTCTGTTGCATTCAATGAACACGGGAAATTACAGTGCTGCCGTCCTCTCGTGTCATGATGAGGTTCACGTAAAGCACGGTTAATGTATTATATTATTGAGGGAGAATTGTCCGGGGCTACAGAAAAAACATTCGGGGCTAAAGCCCCGGATGCCCAGGCCAGGCGACGCCACTGGGTATCAGTATGTTGTTACTTCGGCATCATTTAGAAACGTGTATTACAATTTAATCACGGTAAAATATGTTCATTTTGTTGTAGTTGTAGCTCCCGAGCCAGCGCGTCTTGTTTGAATGATGCGAGTAAACACAGCTGGCAGCCGCGGTGAAACTCGAGCGTTTAGAGCGATGCGATAGGAGCGATTAGAGCGAAGCGAATATTCGCATCGCGTCCGGTGTGAACGCAGCATAACAGTCGCGGGTACATTGTGTATATGCGTGGGGATTGTTGCAGTAGAAAATTCCACTGTAGTGACCGGTACATTAATGGGAAACCCTAAATGTTTGAGCACCCTCCATGAAACGTCAAGCTACCCCACAGCACCCCCAAAATAAATCTCTGGCGCCGCCACTGAGCCTGACTATTGTGTTGTGGGGGCCCGACTTTTTTTTTCCTCCAAAGGGGGGGCCTGGCAGAAAAAGTTTGAGAACCACTGCATAGGCATTATAGTTAAAAGGGTGCTGTTACCAGTTTAGTACACGTCTAGGTTTTCGGGCTCACAAAAATCTGATTTTAAATCATAAAAGAAGAGTCTTCCTCTCCCCTCCCAAACTATGAAGAATGGAATCACACTCACTTGTCCCTCCCGACACCCTTACAGACAAGATGGCGGTAAATATAAAATAACAATTCTCACTGGTTTTAAGCGTCTCGTCTAACTTTAGTGCATTATTATATCATGTATGGCGTTAATTCCGATGTTCGGTTCAAAACGAAACCAAACTTTTCTATGGATGTCGGTGTTTGAACCGCGACAAAAGCCAAAATGTGTACCTGAACAGGTAACAACAGGAATAAGGTGAGTTCTGTTGTTAATTTAGCCTGTTGCCGAAAATGCCTTTTGCTACCTAAGCAGTTTTTGGTGACTTCTGGTAAAAACTTGACGGTAAAATCAGTACTTTAAAATATTTTCTACATTTTAATTTCCATAATCACAAAAGTTACCGTAATTGACCATGACATTTTTTTTTTAACACAGCCCTTTACAAGGGTGTAATCGTTTCATGTGTTTACATAAATGAATATCTTCCTTTTGAGGTAAAATCTGACACTCAATCTGACATTCAGAGCTGGGCAATGAAATAGTTAGAATCATAAAAAAAGTTATTTATTGACTAATACAAACCAGAATAATTATGATCTCATAGGACAAGCAGTTATGTTAAAGTCATATATATATATATATATATGTATATAAGTATTTTATATAAAATAATCTATATTATATAATATATGCAGGAGTTGTTCTCTGTGTCAGTGTGCCAATCATTATAGGCTACAGTTATTTATTGACAAATGCAAACCAGAAAAAAAAAAGTATGATCTTATAAGACAAGCAGTGAATATGTTATGTTTATGTCGTATTGAATATAAAAAAGATCTAAGTATATTATATATATGCAGGAGTTCTCAGTGTGTCAGTGTGTCTATCTCTCTCTGGATCAGCTTCACTCCCCCGCTCTTCACTCTCACCCGTCTCCTGCTCACCACCCGACTCCCCCTCGGTGGGGTCCTCGCGGTGTACTGGGCCAGGCTCGCGACCTCTCCTCTCAGGATCTGAGGAGCATGCGCCCGGTCGCCTCGCGCCCTCTCCTCCCCCTCCTCCCGGTAGCCGTGGCGACGGAGGAACGGTTCCAGGGTTGCTAGGCGATTCGAGAGCTCTGTAATGCGCCTGCGCAGTAGGGAGACTTCTCTGAACAGGTCGTTGACGGACTCGGACAGAGGGCGCACCCTACAGGACGAACAGGGGAGGATATATTATACTTAAATATCTTGATACCAGTGTGTCGTGACAGGGTGGATGATTATAATATCTTGGGAGGATTATCAAATACAATACATTACTAACTCTGATTATTTTCTTTAGTATCACTCATAACATTAGCCTGCTGAAGAGGGTTTAAACTAGGGTATGGAGAAACCAGAGTAGCTAGATTTTCATAGTAGTTTATCCATCTGAAAAATTCACAGTCCCACCGTTAAGGCCTCCCAAAGCCACTCCTCTAAGAAACATATACTAACGCACAGTGTGTGGATGTTATAGCTAATGATAGGCGACGTCTTCAAAAGGCAGTTTTTGGACTCAAGGGGTCAAACTGCTTTTCATCATAGGATGCTTAATGAGTGTGACACTTGGCACCTGATTGGACTACTGACCTCACATGGCGACTTGTTTTTAAACCTTTTCTTTTATATTATGTAAAAAGCTCAGTAAAATGTGTTTCTACGTTTGTCATTACTTTTCCCTTAGACAATGGTTAGCGTAAAGTTTATTAGGAGTTACCAGGGGCATCTCAACATCACGCACATTTTTTCTCAAAATCACGCAAATGAGTGGCCAACACAATGCCAGTCTCTTGAATCGCACCAAAGTGCTACTTTCTGGATCTCAGTCTTCTTTAGCCATTATACTTTAACTGAGATGAAGGATTTTAGTAATTGAATGCCTTGATCTTTAGATAGGCCTATTAGATAAACCAGCTGAGCAAACATTAGCAGCTCCCTTGTGAAACTGATTTATTCAGTGTTTTTACTGATTTAAATCACGGGGTCCTGAATCTTCCCTGAAGAATGAAGTGGAAATAAACAGCTATGACAGTAATGAGGGAGAAGACTCCCATGATCCCACTCTCCTTTACAACAGCACCAATTACTTTGCTTAATTTTTTCACTAAGTGACCCCTAGAGGCCGAAAGTGTCACATTGTGTGTGTTTGACCTGGAGTTACCTGGAGTAGTCTGGCAGCAGTGTGCTGGGCTGAGAGTGCAGAAGAGTCTTGATCTCACGGAAGATGCGTTTTCCCCATGCGTCCAAAACTCTGGTCACACTGCGCACTGAGGCCACATTCACACTGTCGGCTGGAACCAAACCATCACACCATCATCAGGCTTCAATTTACAGTCCAAACAGCATGGCTGAATCATGAGTATTATAGGCACATGTGCTGAGAAATCATTTAAAGATCCAAATACCCCAACATTTTCATAATTCACATCTTCAATGATTCTACAGGCCTTGTATCACTACAATGTGAGGTAACCAAACGAGGCTCGTGATTTACCGCCCTCTCTGTAGTTCCAGTACCCATAATCCAGTTCGTTCTCCTCGCTGGCTGCACGGGCCCCAGTTACCACAGCAACCACCAGGAGCAGCATCAACACAGAGGGAGGGGCCATGATGAGAAACTTCCCCCTTTGATAAGAAAGAGAGAAAAACAAACCTACAGGTCGTCTGTTGAAAATGAACAGATACACTTCTTGACATGTTTTTTTTTCTTCTAATACAAAACACACACAGAAATAAATAATAGAAGTGATGAAACGCAGACACACTACTTGTGCTGTACAGCCAGAAAAATATCAGCAGCCTGCAGATGTGCACACACATTGTAACCCGTGGTGGAGAGTGACATAATAGAATAAAAGGCAGCTGCATATATGGAGAAAAAAACACATTACCCCCAAAAAAATTGCAACAAAATACAATAATACATTAAGAAACCTTTTGTTGCAATTATTTTGGGGGCAAACCATATTTGCAAGTACTTCTACTTTTTCATTGTATGCTACTTTATACTTTTTATCTTTCACATATTTGTTTCTGACCACATTGTTGACTTTGTAGATTAAGATTTAACATATAAAATGGGAAACACATATGGTCAGTTTATGAAATGGAATGCATTTGATGGCTAAAGGCATATTTTTTTTCGCTTTCTTGCAGCTAATGAATATACTGTAGTGATCACTGATTCATACACTGGGTTACATAATCCAGTGTATGAATCAGTGATCATTACAATACAACATTTACAGAATATTTTTAACAAATAATGACCTAACACATTTTCATAATTCATAGTTTTTGCTGCTTACTTCTACAAACTACCTTCAAAGCATATTTGACACTGTGGTATTCTTCTCTTTTAAGAAAAGGGTTTGATACTTCTCCCTCAACTTGTACAGCTAGCTGTCTTTATTTATTTAAACATTCAAAACCATCCATAAATCAATTACAAATACCCTGTGCTTTTAACGAATAACAAAGAAATCCCTCAAAAGATTGCACTTACTCTAACTGAAGTCCTTTAATCCTGTGACAGTCAGTCCTGTGCGTCTGTTAGAGGATGAACACAGTCTGATCTGAAAAACAAAGAGAGTGTTTTTACTCCAATCAACGACTCCAGGTGTGTGAGAGGAAAAACAAGAGAGGAGGTCGACCTCCTCATGCGACCCAGAAAAGAAAAATAAAGAAGGGAAAAGCAGGATTGCATCCATATGACAGTCTTCGAATCACACTGGACAATAATAAGCTGATGACTCATGGTTGAGGTATTATAAATGTTTTCAGAGAATATGAATTTGGGGGCTGATGAAAGGCGCTGTGAAAATGAGCCAGGCTATAATCTCACTTTTCACATCTGGACAAACACATAACTGAAAATCAAGCCGATAACAGTGTCCCTTCACTATGATGATGAGTGTGGTGTGCTGAAAAATCTTAACTTTACAAACTAACAGTTCACTTGTAAAGCATCACAAGCTGGAGAGCAAATGAGCTGATACTCACGACTTTTAAATGATGATGATGCTTCAACTCTCAGCAGGAAGTACTTCTCCAAAGTATTTTGAATACCATATGCTTCTGTCGCCTCTCCACTCTGACAATGCTCTGGTCTTTTCTTATTATTTCTTCCCTTGTCTTTCTCTCTCTCGCCTATTTTCACCCCGGCTCTTTCCCCCCTCGCCTCCCAGCTGTGATATAATAAGTAGAGTGTGGCAGGTCCAACGCACAGGTTAAAAACTCCTCATTTGTAGAGAGCTGTCTTTTCTTTAAACTGCTACACACGCACAACTCCTACTCTCTGAAACTTTGACACCAGCTGCTGCCAGATGTGTGGCACTTGCTCTTCTTTCAGATAAGTCTCATAATTGACCTCGTTTTCTCTTTTCTCTTCAGCCCTCTGTGGAACAGACAGGTATATGTGTCCAAGCTGTGATCTCACTCCGCTGCAGGATCCAGTTTCTCCTCAAATTTGAGTTATAGTTAGCTTTTCCATCTATTCTCTGCTTCCTGTCGTCCAGCTCCTCTTCCATCAGCTCCAGCAATAAAATGCTGCTTAAAGCATTGACAATTATCGAAATATAATATACAGTGTATCTGAGAAGGGCTTCTTACTGTAAGAAGAATTTAGATCCCTTAGGTAGCTGTTACACATTACAAAAATATTATATAACTAGAAAAACAGAAGTATTTACAAGACATTTTAAAACTACTTTTAAAGGTGGGGTAGGTAAGTTTGAGAAACCGGCTCGAGATCGCTAGAATTTGAAAATACACAACCGGAGAAAATCTGCCACTTCCTTATAGAGCCCCTCCTCCAACACACGAACACGCACATGACCAATGAGGGCACGAGATAAGTTTGTGCACAGATGGAAGTCTGACAGGCAGGTAGGCCATCCAGTTATTTTAGCCGGGCCGGCTAAAATGATTGGTCGTGCTTTTTACAGTACTACGGCTTCCACAGATGACATTTTTTTATGGATTTTTTGTCAAAGCACTTAAGATATTCATTGCTATCGGGATGTTAAGAGCATTCCATGGAATATAACAAAAAGTGTATCCCGAGCCGGTTTCTCAAACTTACCTACCCCACCTTTAAGTCTCAACGTTTGGTTGGACAAACAAGACATTTGAAGTTATGGCAAGTTTAGGTGGCGTTTCTTTTAAAATACTATATCATTTGGAGTTTAACCTATAAGAAACTACTGTTGCAAAATAAACGTTGAAGTAAAAAGTAAAACTTTCCCTCTGAATTGTGGTGGATCCAAGTATACTGTATCAGAAACAGCTTCTCAAAACTGCAGGTAACGTTCCTATTTATTTACCACCATGTAGACATCAGGGAATATCAGACATTTAATGTACAATCATTTCAAATGTTCTTTCCAATGCAACACTCACAGTCTTTGATATGTAAATATGTTTTGTTTTAAGATCTGCAGGTGCATAGATGTTTGTTTTGCTTAAATTATCTTTTATAAGCCCCAAGAAAGAGAGGAGATATGGCGTGCAGCAGACGGGATATGAAATGGAACAAATTATTCTCTATTGACTGGCATCCAGATGTTATTCCAGCTCTCTGTGTCTGTTTTCATGCTGCGGCTGTGGGTGAGGTCAGAGTTGGCCACTAATGCAGCCAAGAAAGAAAATGGTAATAAAATCTAGTTACGAGTGAAGAAAGAAGGAGGCATAAATGGGGTAGTTGGGGTGAGAAAAACAGACAAACAAACAGAGTTTAAATATGATGATTACCACTGCAGTTCCACATGTGCACGCCTCTCCTGGCAGCCTCCGAGAGTTACTGCTGTGAAGAAGTCCCCACCAGCCGCCACATGGTTCACATTAACAACAGGCAGTTTGTCACCTTCAGCTGAATTCCTCACACACACACACACACACACACACACACACACACACACACACACACACACACACACACACACACACACACACACACACACACACACACACACACACACACACACACACACACACACACACACACACACACACACACACACACACACCAGGGTTTCCGCTAGGATCTTTTCTTGCCGGTCAAATGTCCGGAAAGAATTTATTTTACCGGACAAATTTGAAACTTACCGGTCATGTTTCAATAATAATAATAATAATAATTGTGTAGCAGAGTTTCCGTTAGCAGGTAATTACCGGACTATGACCGGATATGCTGATGTTTAAAACTCAGTTAATGGGAGTCATTTTTATATTGCTTCAGTTTATAATCGTAACAGATCGAAAAGTTCAGATTCATTTTTCAATAAATGATTCCACAAACAACAAACAACATAATTATTACATTCAAACAAACTACTTATAGTAGATAAAGTGATTACCGGCTAACGGAAACCCTCACACACACACACACACACACACACACACACACACACATTTGTTTCCCTCCCTGCTTGAGTCTTTTTTGCTTCTTCTATCTTTGACTTAACACATGATAATGGTGTGGGCTCATGGCTCACTTTTATTTCCCCAACACTGTCTCATTGTGGTGGAAGGCCAACATTGCACTTCACTTTTCCAGGAGCTAATGTCACAGAAGAACTGCAACAAGAAATATTCCCATTCAACACAATACAAAGCAAGTAGTAATATTATATTGTAATGATGTGGATGTAACATTATGCTGTGCATTGATTTCAAGCTTTAATGTTAAATGTCTCTTGCATGAAACAGAGTTGTTAATGCTCTTTTCATTTGGGCTTTGGTGTGTCTGCAATGATAACAGAAAAAACTCAACAAATTGAGGAAGTGGTTTTGCCAGGAACAGGAAACCCAACACTGCAGTTTATTAACCAAGACAAACTAAAACACTCAATAGATTTGTGGAACAACCTCAACATAGAAGACTAGAAACATCTCTACAAAAACCCAAAGATAAGAACATGGGAGCTCAACAAGTTTGGCATCTTTCTTTCTTGTGGACCTGGATATTTGTCTGTTTGTTCCTTTCTGAATGCACAGGAATGGACACACCAAGTAAGCCATTCAAACTGTTCTCTGACTGAAATTGAACCTTTGTAAATTACTAACGTATCTATTTTATTGTTTGCTGCCAAAGAAGTTAAGATATGTGTTTCTTAAGCTTCAAATCAAGTAAAAAGTAATGATTATTCTTATTATCAATCTTATGTTTAGTTTTTATTGTTATCGTTTCATCTATAAATGTGTAATTGTTTATAAAAAAAAACAGGGTGAAGTGTTCAGATTACTTATTTTGTCCAGCCAAGACGATAAAAGACTTAGTTTCTAATGAGACAAAAGAGAAAATCATCACATTTATGAAACTCAAACCAAAGCATGTTGGTGCTTTTGTTTAATAATAGATATTTTGTTCAACCACTACCTGATTAAACGATTACATTTCCTCTTTGTACTCTATGTCATGTCTCCTGACAGAACTCAGCAAAAGACTTAGTCTCTAATGAAACAAAAGAGAGAAAAACTGAAAATCATCACATTTATGAAACTCAAACCAAAGCATGTTGGTGCTTTTGTTTAATAATAGATATTTTAGATAATATAGATTACATTTCCTCTTTGTACTCTATGTCATGTCTCCTGACAGAACTCAGCATGGACAGCTCAGTGTTTGTGGGAATAAAAGGCGAAGATCTCAGCATTGTCTGTTGGTTGACGATGCCAGCAAACCAAAGCCGTGACTCCTTCTCATGCTCCAACCCGCTCCAAAAAGTGATATATAATTCTGAAATCCCTGAGAATAGCCTGGAACTGAGGCGCATGCTACCAGTGATGCTGAAAACCCTGAGCATTTCAGGAGAATACAGCTGCCGATATAAAACAGCCATAGTGTATTGGTTTCTTCGTCTGAGAGGTGAGTACTAAAAGAAAAATGTAATTTATATTGATTTTTTTATAGGAGTTAAGATTTGCGGTAATACCAGATTTTATACTACTGATCCTCTTCATTTTCAGTTTCAAAGCACTAGGATAGCATAGGATTAAAAATGACTCAATTTAACGACTGACCAGATGAAAACAGTGATTTAGATTAAATGAGCATAAATGTGTAGTGAAGAAAAGGTGATGTAGTAGTGGGACAGGAAGTGCAGTCTTTATCAGATGGATACATGCCAGTGTCAACAGATTGAGGCATAAACAGAGCTCTGCTTGGCTTTGCTAGAGAACGTTTTTTTTACATAATGTTTGCTAAAGCTAGCTTCCAACAAATGTAATATTGTTGGATTCGTTTTTTCCATTGAGTGGACATGCGTTTTGATGTGGATATTAAGAGCCCCTCAAAACCTTTTTTGTATATTTTACAAGAAAAACTCAATTTCGTATTTTCTAAATGAACAGATTTGTTTTTGTGGGACAGAATAAATGTTTTTGTTATCCTTTAAGTGACCATTGAGATTTATGTTGGGACCCTTCAGGTTGGAAAGTACTGTTCAGTAAAGTGCAAAGCCACAAGTGGACTAGTACTGATGCTGAATGAAAGTGTTCAGTTTACATACAAAAAAGCCCAAATCAGCCAATTAATGAAACATTGCTTCACATACTGACATCAAATGTTAAATGGTGTTTTTCCAGATGAGGGCTACAGGCAGCAGGTCTATATGGATAACCCAGGGATCATCGTGGTCGCCGTCTTCACGGGTGTGCTGCTGGTTTTCAGTGTGGTCGGCTCAGTGTATGTCTTCAGAGGACATGGGGTAAGAAACAACGTGTTGCAATGTGAGAATATTGCTGTGTGTGACAGGCAGTTTTGTCGTTTAGTTTTTAAAGCTCCAGATGAAGTTGAGTCCTTTATCAAAACCTCATTGTTACCTCATCCTGTGACTGGTGTTTTCATAGCTCAAGTCTAAAGGCAGGCTGTCCTATAAAGCCAGATTATTTTGTGCAAATTATTATATTCAAGCATTGAATTTACTCCATTCACATGACACAAACCTAAAGAGGTAACTGCTACATAACAAAAACGGAATCATGTGCTTTAGTCTAATTTGAATCCAGTTTTGATATTCATTTTTCTCTTGATGCATAAAATTACCTTTTTGTAGAAAGAACGTGGCGACAGCGGCAGAAAACGAAAGCAGAACAGAGAAGAAATGCAGCAGAGAGAGGTGGAGGAAGACAACATGGATGCAATAACAGCTCCTTCTACGTCTTTCTATGCAGTAAGAACGTTGTTTCTCAAGAGAATAGAGACAGATGCTTTTCATTTGAATTCAACTATAACGCAATACTTTTCTGTCGACCATCTTCACTGCATTCACGTTCATGTTTTCACATTTGTTGAAAATGTATTACAAAACTTCTTTCAGAGTCTAGAGACTCGACCCAGGTCCATCTATGATGTGCTGGACCACTCAGCTGCTAAGAAAGAGCCAAACCAAAGAAAATCTAAACCCAAGAAAAAGGAACCGCAAGAAAAGGTCAGTGTGGACTTCAGGTGCTTCGTCACTTTTGCTGTTATAAAAGAAAAACCAAGCTTTTGTTGTAGTTGATCACGTGTCTTGTACTTTCTCCACAGATGCCACAAAGCCCACAAGACCAGAATGAAGGCACATTTGAGTGTGTCTATGAGAATTTTTGAATCATAAATAACCATGTGAATTGTTGCTTTGTGTTTGACCATCAGGGCCAGAGTGAGTGCAAATGTTTGAAATTAAATGATCATGTTATAATATGTTTCTCTTTCAAATGCACTGGAGCACAATTAAAAAATAGCATAAATTCCTCAGCACTGTACTACAGACGTGTACTACAGAGTCTGATTCCTGCAACGTATCTTCTTATTTAAATGTGTTATGGCTGAATGAGGAGTAATCTACAAGCTACGTGTTTTCAGAAGTCTAATTTATGAATGTATTTGCAAGATTAATGACTAAAATCATTTTGGGTTTATAATGATTATATACATAAGGATAAGTATATTGGGTCGAGTTAAGTTATTTCTTTTTAATCCATGCAATTTCTTTTTAAACATGCTTTGTATGTATTTTATTCCAAGTAGTGTATTGTATTTTATCTGTAACCTGAGGCTGTAATAAAGTTTTCTGATTACAATTGTGGCATTTCATTCTTTGATATGGGCTATGCTGACCAATCACATTGTTAGGTGTTGATTCTACGAGCCAGTGGCAACGCTCCATTCAGCTGCACTTCCTGGTTCGGTTTGTTGTGTTTTTCTGGGTTAATCATGGCTGCAGAGGGCGATTTTCTGGCGAGATATCGTGCTGTGTCGAATAAACTAAAGAAGTAAGGCTTTGAGTTTCATCATTTCATATGGATAGATGACAGCATATTAGGAATAGCCTAACGTTACGAGACAATAATGCTGCAGATTAAACAGCTAGCGCTAACAAGCTATGTTAGGCTAACGTCACATTACGCTATTTAACCTACCTTTGTGTGCATGATTGTAGTTTTTAATGCAGATATCATGTCAATATGTGTTAAGTGCTTAGTTCATGAATAATAGTAACTGATTAATTATGGCGTTATTTGACAGCTAATAGTTACATCCGTGCTAGCTAACCCTACTAGCGAGGCATCATTCATTCAAATGTTAAGCACCTCAAATATTAGATTAAGTGTATTTGGTAGAGCTTAGTGTAATATTTTAGAAAATTGAAAGGCTTTTGTTTCCTTGTCGCAGACGTTTCCTCCGGAAACCCAATGTAGCGGAGGCGAGTGAGCAGTTTGGTAAGTGACAGTATCTCTGAACAACCCCACGCTACCTTTACACTGTGTGTCAACCTATCCTATGGTGTCAACATTACAGTATGCGTTCATTACGCACGACATGACACCAACACCGGCCTTCTCCTTGTTCTCCTTCATATAATCTATAATATATATCATCAGTTTCTTCTCAATTTGCATTTCCCTGTTTTCACTTGTGTTCAGGTCAGTTAGCAAAGGAGCTGAAGCAGCAGGACTGCCTTCAGTATGCGGCTTTCTGTAACCTGGCCATGGCTCGGTGAGTGGACAAGTGTAAACTCATAAATGTTGCACCATATTGACCTAAACCAGGTCAGTGTTTAACAGAAGAAAAGATACATTCTAAAGCCCAAAGTATGTGTTCATTGTGTATTGCAGATGATTTTAGTGGTGTCCACCCAACATACATAATGTTACATAATGGCCTGGTTCCTACTTTACATTAGCAACAGTTTGGCTCTTTTCTGCGTGTGACCTCTTTCACAAAGCAAGGCCCATAAAGCATGGGTTTTCCCAGTTTGGTGTTGAATAGGTCTTCTTCCCTAAACACACTCTGACATCAACCACATCCAACATCTTTGAGACACTGTTGACTCTAATCTAGATCGCATCACCCAACAGTGGCTTACATTATCTTTCCTGTGGCAGCAAAAGATCAAATCCCTCAAGCCAAGCTCCACGTTTTGTGTAAAGCTGACTCAGAAGAGTAGACATGTAAATGTGCATGGCTTTGGTATATAATGTTCAACAGTCACATATGGGTGTCATGTTCATCTGTTGTTATTACCCATCCTGAATGTCTCACTGCAGGTGTGAGCAGACTCTCTTTAACGCTCCTGGAGAGGCGCTGGCCCTCACCGACGCTGCCCGCCTGTTCCTCACGTCTGAGAAGGAGAACCGGGCGCTGCAGGCCCCGGGCTTCGACGAGCATCTCCAGGCTGCTCTCAACTGCTACAGTTTTGCCATCAAGGTGATTCCTATTTTTTTAATGCTTGAAGTAAGGCTGCCTTGGTATCATTTAGTCACTACACATTTATTATTGCAAGAATTCACGATAACAAAATTGCAATATCTATAGAACGTTTTGGATTTCACCTTCAGCTTTGTTTATTTTGCATTTTGTTACCTTTTTTTACAAAATATTTACACTCAAAAAACAACAAGAGGGAGGTGGGGACAGAATCTTTGAACAGTAGTAATTCAATTAGTTTTACATTTTATGTGGATAATGTGGTATTCATAGAGTATATACTGTATTCAATTCTCGTGGACTACATATTTCAGGGTTCTTACGGTCATTAAAAACCTGGAAAAGTCATGGAAATTCAAAATGCTAATTCCAGGCCCTGGAAAAGTTATGGAAAACAATATTTTTCCCAAAGTTTTGGAAAAGTCATGGAAATGTAACTAAAGTTGCATCAAATATAATTTATATTTTATCTAATCGCCGAAATAGTAATACTATAATGATAATAAATACTGTATCGTATAGTAATGAAACGTAAAATGGCATTTAACTGTCGAGGTATTTTGCTGGTGAGAGATTGTAGTTGCTTTAGCGTGTAGAAGCTAGTAAGCCTACTATTTGATTTGTTTTAGATAGGCACAACATGTTTCAGACCTTATTTTCCTGTTCCATGTTAAAATAAACCATTTTCAGTGGTACCGCTGAGAGAGTAATTTCTTTGGTCATGGAAAATTAGGTAAAGGTCATGGAAGATCATTGGTGAAAAAGTGTATGAACCCTGATATTTATGGTTTGCAGAATAAATTACAAAGTACATTCCTGTATTGTTTCCAAATTTCTATACATAGAGACTGTAAGATAATGCTGACGTATGAATGGGTTACAGGTGCACATTGAGATGAACCAGCCTGTGATGGCAGCCAGCCTGAGTCTAGAACTGGGCAACGCACTGAAGGTAAAACTTTGGATCAGAGATGTAAAAACGATAAATTATCTTAGCTTTGATTGTAACTGTATATACTGTTGTTAAACTGACCTGTTAACCTCTCCCCCTCTGTGGTTTCAACAGGAGATGAACAGACCCGGGGAGGCTATCGTTCATTACCAGAGGGCTGCAGAGCTGCAGACACAGACGCCCATTGAAGCGCTGCTGTCAATGGGAGAAATGGCTACGTGTAAAATACTAACACGTGAGTTCAGTTTGTCTTCTGATATGTAGTTGATGTGTGCTTTATGTGAGATTTTTCTTGATTTTCTGCATTTTGAGCCTTCATGTCTCTTGTGTTTTGCAGGTGACTATGACGGTGCTCTGTCAGTGTTCACAGAGATGCAGCTGACGTGCCAGGAGAGAGGACTGCAGCTTCCAGGCATCAGCACCCCCGTTGGTGAGGCTCTGAATTTATATACAAAATAATAATCTTAGGCTCTACCTGCATAAAATAATCTTAAATATAAATGGATTGCCAATGACACAGGTTAAATGTAGGCTTCAATGTCATCAGAACAAATTTAGTGCTAAGAACGTTTTAATTACAAACATCTAAAGCTGGATCTGATAAGAAAATGAATACATTTCTCTTCTGTATCTTAATTTTCCTTGAAAAAAGGTGCTTTTTTGGACATTGTGGCAAAATGTGAGGTCTCCAGAGTACTGCTGTTGATGTTGCTTGAGGTAAGCTTTTTTTATATTTAAAATAATTATATTATAATTTGTAACACCTGCAAGCCTAAAATGAGTGGAGTAGGAAACATCTTAACATCAAGGTTTTCAGGAGAACTTGTTTGTCTAACTTTCTATGTTTTATTATAAATACAGTACAAATACATTAACATTTTCCAAACATGTACATGTTGGGTCCAAAAATGTTTGTCAATAATGTCAATTATAGTGCTAACGGCAAATTGTATTTGTTGCATTTGTATTTACTGGTGCAGAAACACTTTAACGGTCCAACATTGCTGTCTTCCCTTCCAGCCTCCGCCTCAGAAGCTGTTACCAGAACATGCCCAGACCCTGGAGAGGTACGCGTGGGAGTCCTTCGACCCTCACAGTCAAGGTGAATGCAGCGCACTATTCATTCAAGATATTAGAGCAACAGGGTGTGATTTCTAACCATTGTCTTTTATTGAGTGCCATGTATTTGAAGTGGTGTAAACGTGGCTCTTTTCCTCTCCTCCAGTGACCTTCCTGCCTGAGAATGTTTTCCTGCTCCTGCAGTCTGTGGTGGTGAGTTTTATCATTCACATACTTGAGACGGTTCACAGGATTTCCTGATCCTTCCTGCCTCATACAGGAAAATCAGTCACCAGAGAGGATTGTGCTCAAGTTTGCCTTCCTTTGACAATGAAATTATCATTTTCTATTTGCAGCATTCAATGTCAGTGTTCAGACTTTGATGTGTCTTTCAATATGACGCAATTATAAAATATTCAAGGATCCAGATTGATGTTTATTCACAACAGACTCTATACACAGTATTGAAAAATGTTAAAAATGAGCTTAAACCTTGACAAAATCCTGGGAATTTTTCAAGGTCATCTGATTTTGCAGTTATGGTTTTATTTGTGCAGTGCATAACAGTGAATCTGTTTTGCAGATGGCGTGTCAGGAGAAAGACACAGAGTCCCTCAAGTCTCTTCAGACTGAGCTATGGTGAGCATTCAGAAAAGTTCCATCATGTGACGGGGGATTGAGCAGCGTTTTTATTGCTTCTCAATCTTAATTTTCCATATTCATTATGTGTTTTTTTCTCCTCAGGCCCTTTCTGAGTGCTGAGCAGAACCATCTTCTCCATCTGGTGGTTCAGGAGCGCATCACGCCGTCTGGCCAAGGCATTTAGTGCAGTCAAGGTTTTACTCACTTCCTCTGGGAGCGATACTTTATATAACAGAACATTCCTGTTTCTGACTGGGTCTGTTGTAAGGCCTGAGGAAGATTTGCTTTCAAAACCTCAATGTTGTAACTTGCAGAAATGATTGCAATGCGAAACGTTTGACCTTATTAAGCAGTCTGTGAAAATCCAATAGCATTTTCAAGAAGTGTTTTTATTTAGGATGCTAATTTCAGTTAGTTTAAATTAATTTTAATATAATCTTGTGTCCTCGAGTTATGGCTACTGAATTGATCCATATTTATTATGTAACAGTGACTTTGTTGCATTAATAGCAGTTCAAAAATGAAACATGAAGGCTTTGTGTTATGATTTGTTTTATTAATAAATGATATGGCTTAAATTCCAATGTAATTACAAACACACAAACCTATTGCATAGTTTTGAATTATGGTGAAATGAAACACCATTGTCCTCCATCCCTCGTTCACTTGTACAAATTGCATGTACTTTTCTTATGATAGCAGCCAACCACAGACACGAAA